GATAGTTGGGTAAATAATGAAACAGCGGCAAACTTTATACCGTGTAAGAGAGAATAGAGGGCACGAATAGATCACATCACTTGTGCCCTAAAACAAGATGTAATAATATCAAAACCTCGAAATTCTAACGTGAACTCCCGGTTTACGGAGTTGTTTTGCTGTTCTCCTCTCCGAGAATAGATAAGGCTTGGAAGAGGCTGGCGTCAAGCTTCAAGTCATTTGATTCTCATCAGATTTTACACTTTTTTTGTTTTCACGATCGTGCATGTGGATTTTATGGCTATATGACCGATTCTCGTGATTTGTTTCTTGATATGCACATGCTAGCATTACTAGATTCTCTATGAAAAGCTTAAACGCCAAGCGAAGATCACTACTACGTAGGTAAGCTAAGCTTTTAGCGCTCGATTTGCCTGTTGTTCGGCGGAGATACTCTATTGCTTCGGATCTTGATTTCAGAGTCTGTATGTTCTTTTGTAACAATTTATATAGACAAAATAACAAATACTGCTGATGCGGTTATCCTCAAGAACCAAAAAGCTATCAAATTCTCATTAGCTACGAGGTAGATTTGAGAGTCGCAATTTATGTCGAATTCCGGACTCCATTTGATCTCAGACTCCTCATTCCATTACACTTCTGATTATCGGATGAATAAAAGCTCATGATAATTCACTAACAATTATTCAACCGCTCGAAATACCTCAACTAAACTCCAACTGAGCCTAGCAATAACCCTGTTTCATCCCAAGGGTTCTCGTTTCGGCAGCGCTAGTATCTTTAATGATCACTTTCTCGGCATATAGGGGCTCAGAAAATTGTGCATCTCTGAGATAAAACACATCATGAGAAAATAATTTTGTATATATCCAGGATTTCCAGTACATATACCAGAGTCTGTCAGTGGAATACATCCGAATTTGTATTCGTTATGGCGAATTGTATTGTGGGAGATGTTTGATCCTCTACAAGTCTTTGCTTGTATTGTTTTTGATATTTTTACTGTCACAAAGTTCCGATCATACTGTCATTCTTCTGGAAATCTTTTCCAAATTGGACAGCAGATTCTCCTTTGCATTGAATATCTACAGTTGAACTCGCACTCCAAGCCTGGACTGTTTGGACTGGAGGTCTTGGTAGTCTCAGAAACGACAAAGTAATCGTCACTCAATGATCACCATGTTTCTAGCCTCGCTTTACGTCGCTTGCTTGTAAATGCAAGAAAAAATTAAGTTGGCAAAAGACCTCTCTCTTATATACGCCATTTCTTATACCATAGGAAACTACCTTAACGGTAACATGACCCACTAGAAACACAACTGCATTACTTCCTTAATATAAAAGCACCAGCATCTATCCAGAGAAGAGTCTTTTGTGTTCAAATAAGAGTATGGTAACAGGGGACGTTCATGGCGAGCTGATTCCAAGATTTATTTGTGACTTTTTGAAGCAGAAAAAGATGGAAATCGAAGCACTCATTCAATGACAGAGAAAGACCAATTAGTCTAACGAGTTCCGAGGATAAAATCTTAATAGACATTCTTATTTTTGTCGTTCCATGACCAGAGCGATAGCTATCGTTTGATTCCATTAATCATTATCGAAACAAGGGAACCTATGAGTTCTCCGACGGCAATAAGAATTATAGACGGAAATTTTGCTTCCAAAGCCATGTTTCACGGTAGTCACAATTGCGCAGATGCCACGACTTGAATCCACATACTTTCTGTCGACCTTCAAGCATACTCTTTTTGCAATTAGAATTTGATTTGATCAACTGAGATGTATATATAGCACTCTATGCGCTAAAAAGCACAATCATGTGCTATGTCGCTTACCAGGCCAATAGCCGTTTCTCTTGGATGTGGGAAAGGAAAGCATTTTCCTGTTTTTTATAAGTGAATCTTTTAGTCTTCTAGTTACTTCAGGGGAAGAGGTCTTATGATTGAACATGTGATTGAAGAACATACTAGTGAACGGCTTAGATGTTGAAGGTTTTGGGATTGGAAATCGCCAACTAGACATCTGATAGCTCTTCAAGAGACCGAAGTAAAACGAGTTTGTGATCTCAAGCAACAGTCAAGAGGGAAACTCCTGCTCTGATCCATCGGTCAACGCCAATAATCTTCCAAACAATCAAAGGGCTTCGCAGCAGTCTACCAGAAGAACCAGTCCGTGTACGAGTGGATCTCTCTTGGAATTTGATATTACTGCCCCTCTTGACCCTCATACCCAAACGGAACTATAACTCATGGGAAAAAAGTGACAGAGATGGAGACCGCACTAAGGTTTTTGGTAGTTTCGAGATAGATAGAGGTACAACAAAAGCTCGCCGTCGACTATAATTCTTGTTGCCTCCCCGCCGTCATTTCATTCTTACACACGTAAGGGCTAAGTCTCCAACTCTAATGATAACCAAAACAGCTCAGCGACAACCAGAAAGACTTTTTGGTGGTAATGCTAACAAATATAAACATTAACTCGACTTTTCTCCTGCTTCTTAATCATTTGTATGATTGTCACCATATTCTTCTCTTAATCGCAACTAGAGTCTCATCTTTGATCTAGGTCACAAATAATTTGGAGGTTGAGGCAAAGTCTATTTAGCTTTTCCTTTTGATACACTTATATCTACAAAGAAAAGTTTGAGGTCGAGGTTATTCTGCAGGCCCCCAAGGCTATTGGCACAAAAAGGTGTGTTAGAGAGTGAATTTCGTGTACTAGTAGAAATGGGGTTTCTCGTCATAAGATCTCTAAAAATCAATCCAGGCGCCGCTCATGCCTACGGAAAATAGGCCATTAGACCTCCTCAAGTATCTATATTCCATGTCGCTCCCAGAACTAAGTCTACAGGGCTTATGCAATCTAAAGAAAAAAAGTTTCAAGATCACATGAAGAAATCTTCGTATTTCCCACATGAGGCTTGAGTGTATAATCCAGTTCCTGATGACGAATGAATGGATATGAAAGCAGTGAAACGACAGCACCGTTAGACAAAAAAATGGCAATAGATGGAAACCCGTGTTATGAGATGAGACGAGCTTCCCAATGATAGCTAAGAAGCTGGGGGAGCCGCATTGTAAGATTGTTGGAAAAGTCATGTGTATAACCGTCCTTAGCTTTCTATGCTCAATCTTCACACTCAACTAGCTCATCTCCTTTGGGAAGCGCCTGGCTGGTCAGAGGTAACAGTGGCGAAATTTTCTGACCAGCATATGAATTCAAAAATAATTTATACTTCAGCTTATCCTTTCATCAAATACGATACATCTACACTCAATACCGTTATTTATAACCCGATTGTCGAGACTGGAAGGCTCCAACCTCATGTGGTCATGCGGGAAAGACATGTCTGCTGATTCACTCGTCCAAGAGAGAGTGGCTGATTTCCTGGATGTACTAATAAAACGGATTCAAAAGAACCCGCACTAGCCGTTCATAGTTAGTGATTACACCATTTCCGAAGCCCCGCAAAGTTCTTGGCAACAACGCATGTGGCTATCCTCGCTAAACAGACGAGGAGGATCCACTTACCCCTCATTTTCTTCACTGCGACAACAATGGATCTTACTGTGTTTTACTTTTACACCATGGGAGGTTATATTCTCACGAAGAGCCCTGATCAGTTTTCTTTTGACAGAGAGTATGGTATTGAAGCTACACGACTTTGCTTATGGGAAAGCGAGATTTGATGAAAGTGGTTGATTTTGGCGCACAGGGTATCTTCAAGGAAAATACAGGTTGCGAATATATCATGGTTGTGATCAAAGAAATATGCATTAATGTTAGCACCTGAATTATTCTTGATGAGCTTGTAAGAGGGTAAGCGACAATAAAAACAGAAAAATTATGCGATGAGATCGTAAGTGATAAGATAAGACAGTGTAGATGACAACACACACCACACTATATCATTCGTTATTTACTATTTAAAAAGAAAAAAATCTCCTCAAGACATTCCCTTCATTTTAGTTATGAAAATGAAGACTAGGAATCGTAGCCATGCAACAGTTCCCAACGGAAAAAACAACCAGCTAACTCGGAGGGGCGAGAACTTGGCCTCAAAGTGTGTTGTGTCGAGGATTTGATAGAACATCTTCTGTATTTGATCACGAGACTCGTTCACTTTGGGGTGAATATCAAATACACGTAAAGAACAACAGTCCCTATTTTGAGAAAGATAATGATATTATTCTCGACTTGACTATCGAGATATCTTTAGAATTCGTAAAGACTCGACAGACTATAAATAAGCACCCGACACCCAATGTTCAATCCCCAATATACCGTGAGACTCAAGCACAATGCTGGATATAGAGTCTCCTCGTCGCTTCAAAACGAAGACCATAGGCTCTGTGGTAAATCCCTCTTTTCTGTTTGAATTTCCCTGAAAAAACTTCCACAATAGTATGACTAGTCAAATACAAACACAAAAAGTGTAAAAAAAAACAATGGCAACAACTCGCGCTCACACTCCTTACAATTTTCGACGAAAAGAAAACCGCGATCGGCGGTGTAAAATTCCGATTTTTTCTTCTCTTTCGCAGTCTGAATGATAATTTCGGTAACTATACCGAACGTCTAGACTTTAAGAACCAGTGTAGAACACGCAGTCCAGAGTCTTGAATTTGGAGATCTTGATATTTTGGCTGAGAGAAAAATCGTGCGATAATCTCCAAAGAAGTAACTTTACGAATATGAAGATAAAGTTTAGCAGTGACTTCAGGGTAAGAAAGATAGAAATGGAAAGTATAGAGGTGAAAAAGAGTGGAAAGTAGTTGAGTGAATAACAGAGGAAGTTGTACTTGAATAGAGTGATGGACATATCCTAGATTTTGACGTCAAAATTCAGTCCAGGTATCATGAAATTAAGATATCGTGTGTTGATTCATAGCCATAATCAAGCAATTAACATAGCAGCAATTTGAATTATCTCCCTTACCTAATCTCCCAACGTTAAGCAATTGCAATTCCCAGACTCTCATGTTCCGTTCGATCTCTCAAATATGACCCGTAACTGTCATACCAGCATCAACAATAAATTCTGATTCATTGACGTAACTAGCAGAAGGACTGCACATAGAAACTGCAACATTCGCCAATTCTTCTGCCCTAGCCGCTCTTCCTGCCGGTGAAGCTTTTTGAATAACTGCTTCGAGTCCCTTCCATCGACCTATACTACGTTGAAGTTTGTACCCACTTTGGGCAGAGTGCATTCATGCGGATTTGGTATTTCGCGTTATCGAGCGCTTGGTTTATGTTAGTTGCGAAATCTCGAGAACGGGGCTCTATTCAGATGGCCAAATATGGTAGATATATAAAAAAAGTAAACATACCGGCAACTTTAACAATTCGCATCATCGCGTGCTTGGATGCAACATGTGCCATCATTCCCAGCGCCGCAATATACGAAAACGCACTTGCGATATGCACAATAGATCCTCGACCCAGACTGCGTTCGTCGCCATGGTGACTCTTAGTCGTGAGAGGTTCTTGTGTTGACATGGCTTTAGTTATTGCTCGTGTGATAAGCATTGTTCCACGGGTATTGACTGAAAGAATTTGGTCGAAATTGGCGATATCAACGTCAGAGGTCGGCTTAAGAGAGGGAGCTCCTAGCTAGAATACGGTTAGAAAGCTGCATTCGAGTAAAAAGAATGTTGTTACAGGATAATTCTGGACAGGAAACAAGATCAATAGAGATAAGAAAATACAGAGAGATCTCGACTCACGCCAGCACTATGAACAACATAATCAATCCTTCCGGATTTATCCACCATCCAACCAACCATCGACTGAACACTATTTGCATCGGCAACATCAACTTGAATGACCCGATCATCGTTTCTTACAATTGCTGGTTATTAGTAGATACAGTCGCAACCGGTACGCTCTTTCTCCCCACCACACATGACTTCATCGAAGGCTCCGTTTCCTGTCCCATTGCTCCAGGTCAGTGAAGATCTCTCACCTCTTCTCTCTCGCATCTCCTGTTTCGTCCCCCCCAGCTCAATCTCCACAGGTTTATCTGGCCTCGTTGCACCCCGCACACAAACCTTCCAATACGCAAACGAATCTCCCAAAGCAAGCTGTACTAAAGACCTCCTTGATCTTCAAGACTACATTTCCGAATTCGGTCTATATGATGGCATCATTGCTTTCTCGAGTGGTGTCTCCGTAGCCGCCACGTTAATCTTTCATCAACAAATCCTCCGTAAACATCAAGAGAACGTGAAATTCAATTTGAAATGTGCAATTTTCTTCTCCGGTGATATACCGATGCATCCGACCGCGTTGTTCGAGCGAGAAGAGTTTGTAATTTTACAGCCTGACATACATGGAGAGATTATAGATCTACCTACGGCGCATATTTGGGGCTGCAATGATCAGTCGTATCTCAGATTTGGCCCCGTTCTGACAGATTTGTCTAAAAGAGATCTTAGATAGATGTTCACACACGAAGGAGGCCATGAGATTCCAGGGCCAGATAACAAGACCGCCATTCCTCTGGCGAAATGACGGCAGCGCGGGTAACTCTCAAGGTCCCCATAATAAAACACATGAACTAAGAAATCAAGTTTCAGTTACGCGTGTGTTGGTCTGTCTTTCGAATCTGCATGCAAAGTGGCTTTTTTAGGAGCAGGTGGCTAAGGAAATTCGACAAAATTGTGAACAACATCCTCGGGCGATGATATCCATCAGCCTTGCACAATTCGAAGTTCAGCCACATATAACGAAAATACTGGGCCTTTCCAACTCCATGAACCTCACTATAGCATTTGTTAATAGCCCCTGCAATGTGGCCGTCTCAGGATTGGAAAGCGATATTGATTTGCTTCAACAACAACTGAATACTGATGGGATATTTGGGCACAAATTGAAAACTGGCTCCGCTTATCATTCCCCTCAAATGAACGATGTGGCAGATGAATACTCTCACCTACTACAAACCTTGGTGATAGGTCAAACTCCCCTATCGCCTATCATTATGATATCTTCGGTCACAGGTAAACGTATCGCCGACTTGGAGAGCCTCATCCAAGCTCAATATTGGGTCAGAAATATGGTGAGTAAATTTAACTTTTCGAAGGCTTATTATGATCTTGTGGCTACAGCAACATCATCTGCCAGGAGGAAACTGGGTGTAAGAAACTGCAGTTTTGAAGTTTGCGATTTTCTGGAAATCGGGCTACATCCTGCACTACAACGCTGCGTCAAGGATATTTCCGACAGATTAAGTCCCAAATCAGGACTGAGATACCACTCTACCTCATCGTGTAACACTTCCAGCACTATCCTCGTGAAAGAATTGGCTGGTCGCTCGAGTTCCTTAGGCTACAAGATCAATTTTGATTTTGTGAAAGAGCCTCAAAGTTCTTGTAATTTCCAATAAAAGCTGTTGATCGACTTGCCAGAATATCCTTTTGATCACTCTCGTTCGTATTGGCATAGATTTTTACCTCAATTCATTGTCTGGAGACGCGTTGATCGCAACTTGGGAGTTGACTGTGCCCTATGGAAGACTTATTGAGCTCGGTACGCTTGATAGATACACCAATACCAAGTTACCTATGCCATCTTTTGTAAATAATATCACATACACCGCGATCTCCATCGATTCTATTAATATTGAGAGACCAAAAAATTCGAAAGACAATGCTTAATGTCACCGACTATTTTCATAGAGGAATATTTCATTCTTTCAAACCTTTTCACTTAATGTCTACCGGGAATCTTAAAGAGGTCATGAGACTATTGCAGAGCGGTAAAACATCTGGAAAGATAGCCTTAAGCGTCGATGGAGCAGATATAATCCCTGTAAGTTTTCAAATTATTTGCATGGCTTGACTTCCCATTTATTTAATAACTCTTGATAACAGGCAACTATTCAACCGCAAGCACTGTAGAATTTTGACTCAAAGTCTTCATCCATAATAGAAGGTGGCTTGGGTGGTTTGGATAGAAGTGCAGCGTTGTGGATGGCTGATAAAGGAGCAAAATATCTCATTCTTTTATCAAGGTCTGGGCCTGCGACAAATGCTACTATCTCTTGGCTAATCAAGCTACGTGCTATGGTAATTTCTATCGAAGCACCCAACTGCGGCATTACATCTTTTGATCAACTAAGAAAAGCTATCTCGCAGTGCTCTAAAGCCTTTCCTCCCGGCTAAGGATGCTTGCAAGCTACGATGGTTTTAAAGGTAACTGGATCTGATATTCCAAAAAATGACATGTATTGAGAAGTACTGGGATTTCCTATTTGAGAAGATGAGTTTCGAAGAATGGTCGGCAGCAACATCTCCAAAAGTCCAGGGCACACGGAATCTCCATAGAGCTCTACCGGATAACCTCGATTTCTTTATACTTCTTTCTTCTATCGCTGGCGTGTTTGGATCAATAGGCCAATCCAACTACGCCGCCGGAACCATATTCCAAGATGCATTTTGTCTTTACAAGAACAGCAAGGGTCAAAAAGCAGTATCTCTCAGATTGGGTATTGTGAGCGATATAGGCATCATTAGCGAGAATCCCGAAGTACTCAAAAACGGAGACTTTGTAAGAGAAATCGCATCAGTCAAAGAAGAAGAATTTATTGCACTTCTTGATAACTACTGCAATTCTGATAATCCGCTACAGTTACCAGCATCAGGGGGTGCTCTACCCATTATCGGTCTCTTAGCGCCATCACAATTCACCGCTCAGGGGGTAGATATACTATCCTGGGCTCAAACACCCACTTTCAGTCCCCTTGCATATATTGGCGAAGACGATACTCTTTCAACCGATACCCAATCTGCTAAAGGGAGCTTCAAATCTCAACTGCAAGCTGCAGAATCCGCAAATGAAGTAAAGGAAGTGGAATTGACTTCGCATAATTCACGGCCTCTTCATTAGATCTACATTAACGTTCCCGAATAAAAATGACATTATTGCGACTTTTTTTTACCAAATTTGGCATAGCTTGAATTGGGAATGCGACTTTGTAGTGAAAGACTTGTAGCAACGACGAGAGAATCGATTATTGATCAAGATGACAGAGAAAGTAATCTTCAGCTCATAGACACAATATTCAAATTCTGTCTTGTCAGAATTGCATCGGTTACAGAGGTATTAGTCTTCCTTGACTGACTTTGAAAAAGTAAATGTGCCCCCCAACCACTAGCTCATAAAATCCCAACTCGAAGAAAAGTTATAGTGGTGATCACCTTAAGCGAGCGTTGGGAAGATGTCAGCGAACAATCACGAATACATTGTACAGAATAAACGGAAATGAATCTAGGTAAAAGTATATGTCTAAACTATAGAGCCCATTGACTCTTATGGTTATATGCCCAATTTTTTGCCACCATCTACAACAGAATTCTTATAACAAACCACCAAAGTGTTCCTCCAAAAGCCTTCAACTCATTATCCCCCTTTTAGTTACCCCATGATTATCAACGATGATTAGCTGCCATGACTTCTTTCGTTGAGTAGTTCAAGAAAGCCTCGAGCTTAGCAAGAAGCTCCTGAAGGAATACCGGCACAAGCCTTCTTGGTAGTTCCACCTGTAACAGCAACCTTATTCCATGTCCAGCCTGAACAGTTTGCACAAAGAATATAAATATTCTGGCCACCAGTAACAGTACCGTGAACATTGCTTACAGTTAATCCAGTGATTGGAACCTTGCCAGTTGGTGTTCCAGTAGGGCTGCCATTTTCATAGTCCTGTTGAACATCAACACCAACGCCGGTGATGCCGACGAGAGTGATGTCCTGGAAAGTGACGCCGGAGACAGTACCTGTGGCACCGCTGACAGTCTTAACTCGAACGCCATTGGTTGATTTTTGAACGGTAGAAGAGAGGAATCGCACATCCTTGACATCGTTGGCTCCAGTGCCGGATCGTCCACCGACGGAACCAACAGAGAGACCATGGCCACCAGAGCAGTTTCCACCGGTGAAAGTGATGTTCTATTATTGATCAGAAAAATTCACTGATGTTGGGGAATGGGATAAACTTACAGTGCCAGAGTTAACAGCAACACAATCATCTTGGTTCTTTACAATTGCTCCGGAAATGTAAATGTTTTGACTCAAATTGATGTCAAAAGCATCAGTATTGTGACCAAGGTCGTTGGCATCTCCAGCAGAGTTATCAATGTTAATATTGACAAGCGACAATCCGACAGATTGACTAATAGAAATGCACTGAACGGGTGCATTGAGGAAATTCAAACCAGTAATACTGGAAGATCCAGTCAATTTGTGAGCGTAGAAGAACTTTGGCTTAACTTTGCCTTTTCCGGCAGAAACATTAGAGCCAAGTCCATCCCACCATCTGGCTCCGCCACCGTCAAGCTTATTTCCGGATGCACCGGTGACAACAATATCTTGTCCGGAGATGGAAACAAGAGGGCCTTCCCACTCAGAGTAGCCAAAGCTGCAATATTGTTAGAATGATCCCATGCATACAAAGGAAATAACTCACGTGGTAGTTCCTTGGAAGATAACTTTTGTACCGGTTTTGAGGCCAGTCAAATCAAGAGTGGTTCCAGCTGGAACCACAATACCGTTCAAGATGATAGTAGTGCAGCTGGTCTTTGAGGCTTGAGCAGTAGCGGCGGTGGTAAACGTACAATCAGCACGCGCATCGAGAGCTGCTGGGGCCTATAAAATGAACTGTTAGTACTTTGCGCGTAGTAATAGTAGAATTGGGTGATCTCACAGAACCTGGAGCTGCAGAAACTAAAGCAGTGCTGGCCAAAAAGGCAATGAGGCTTGTGAGATAAACCATTTTGAAGGAACAAAATGAGTGTAATTGTTCGGAGTATGTGAGAAAGAGTGTGCTGATGGATGATTAGATGAGTGTGTGATGAAAGAGTAATGAAGGAGAACACGCCTCCTACTTATACAAAAACTTGAGCTCCGATATACAGAGGTATTTCGCATCTGCGGGTGGTCTTCGTTGATGAATTTCTATTGGCAATGACCAGGTTACGTGATCGCAGATCTAATGATGTTCTCCCAACGCTGCGAAATTCCTCATTACGTTTGCCAAGCTTAACAGGTACGAGATCTTTTACGGAAGATAGGCAATGCTATCCCAAATATCCTATCAGATCCCAAGCAAGATTTCCACTCACGAGAATGAGGACAATGCAATATGTTTAACTTCCGTATAACTTCATTGGTTTCTTAAAAAGTATGAAAGTCAAAAGGAAGTCAATAGGGGAAACATTTGAAGGGTAATCCCAAATTCTCGGCCAGTTTCCAGCTCTTGGTGTTTGTTTGTACTCCATAACAATGCATGTGTGATTGATGGAAGAACTTCCATTAAGTTTTCATGTTACGTTAGTTGTGGAAGTTGGCTCGGCAGTGTAGAACGATGTAATTTATGAACGACGCTTCTGCATAGTATCGAAAGTTTTACAGTTTCAAGTTGCACTCGTTGAGTATAGCTCATTATCAATGCCTCGCGAGCTATGAGAATCAGGGCTTAGCGTCGTTTCTCCACACAGAAGAACCAAACTACTTCTCGACTAGATGACGGAGGGTTCCCGAAAATATGAATGATTCTAGACCTTTGTTCCAGAATAAGCATTCAATCAATCAATTTTGTCCATTTCGGTAGTCGCCATCCCATGTTATTCGCCGGCATTATGATGTCTCATTTTAACAAAGCTTGATTATATTTTGACTTCTGAGCTCATCCAGGTTATCCCTGTCAGCCTTGTTCCCTTAGGGGTACGAACCAAATTTAGCCGAGTCTTTATACTTTTTGTCCTGTAAAATGGAGGCTCCGCATAAGGCGTTAGAAGAATGCCGAGCTTTAGCTCTCAAATCAAGCTTTGAACCCCTATATGCTGCGCTGCTACAAATCTTGGCCACTTCATGCCTGCAGAAATCTAGACCGCCTAATGGCACGTACCAGCCTTCACTACTTATCAAAGTATGCATCTTCATAATTCCTGACAATACGAGTAACCTTAGATTTAACCTTAAGTCAAAACCTCTGTTGCGATGATCAGGTATCTCAGCTCCCCCATTCTTCCCTTGGTACAAACCAAAACCCTGCCTGGCGGAGCTGAAAGTATAAGGGACCGATGTTTATTGTCGTGTTTTAAAGTTCAAATTAAATAGGGCTCTCCAGGAGATGATGGCACGTCCCCCTCGAAATCATGTCAAATATTTTCATCCCATTCTTCAGACGACCTCATGCTTTCAAATCGATACACAAATTCATGCCAATAGTCAAAAGCTCTTTGGCAATCGCTTTTCGTATAGAACAAAAGAGTTTTACATTAATCGATATCTTGATTAATGGCCCGAACTTTCGCTCTCGTACAGATTGCTTGAATCACATTTTATAAGGTTTCACGATTTTTTAGCTTGGGACTTAACCCCACATCGTCTCTATGTAAGGTCTTTACCCCTGATCCTCGCAAGATCTTATGTCAAATCATGCAACATTATGATGGGGTTTAACAACTTCTCCGGACATTCTCGATGTTGACAATTTCCAGGGTAAGTGCCGAGCGAGGGTGTTTAATTTATTTCCGGACTTTCCAAAGATTCCATAGTGGAAGCTCCGAAGTGTTTGGTAATTCATACTACAACTTGCTGGACACTCCCCAGACCACAGTACTTCCTGTAATTTATACAAGAATTGGGCGAAAGAGGTAAAGACCGGCACAAGTGAATAGAGAGTGAAAAATGATCTACAGCGGTACCAGACTGTGAAAGTATCTCTTCCTTTTGTGAATTTCTGGGTTAATATCATTACATTGATCGGTTCGTCGTTCTATGCAAGCAAATTCATGCATCCTCCAAATTCACTGTGTCCTCCCGTATCAATGGTCAGGGTCTTGCTACTTAAACTTCGTCATCAAGCAACAGACACATAACTTTCATTGTTCATAATACTCTCAAAGACGGTACTTTACGTGATCGCGGGTTTCTTGAGCCTCTAAGACTTTCAAGGACAACATATGTTGTGTTCAGCCAAAGTCCTCTGATTTCCATCTCAGTAGCAAAGAGAAAACAACGAGAAGAACATGATAGCAACAGTAACAATCACCTTGTGATATCAATACCAAGAATATCGAACGTATCGAACTTCCATGACAGCCGGTTCTCATACAAATAATGAAGACAATGTTTCCGGTATGATAGTTGTGCGCTCGACTTCGCCACGATATAACACCTCTATTCCCACACTTTCGTCTACAAATTGCCACTCCAAGTAACATCCTTAAAAGCAAGCATTATAGCGACGATAAAAGCCCTCCTGTTTCCATTCGCAACATTGTGAGGACATTAAACGATATCATGGCTGTGAGATTTACTAGAAGAAGTAAGGAAGGCCTGAGGTCTCTCAACTTTAGATCACAATTTGTAAAACTCGCTAAATTATACCTCTACACTCCATTGTGATATAGTCACTAGAAGCTCTGATCCATGTATTCATTTATCTCATTCTCTGTCCCTTTCTATCGAGAAACCGTATTACATTGAGTTCTGAATAATATGAATCTCGATCTCTTTCGAGTGATGTGCTTATTAATCATTCGAACCAATCATGGATCGAGAGGTTATTTATCTCCCCGAGAACCTTTGGGTGCTTATATCTCCAATTCAACGCCAAAAAGACCGTCGATATTATGTAATCACCGTGGGTCTGAAGATGAGATGAGAATATCTGTCACCAGACTCAACCCCCTTGATAACGCCATATTTGTAGCCACAGCGTGATCTCTTTGCCTCGAGTTCCGACATTTAACCATATTGGTTTGCACAATTCACCAGTTCCCATATCTTACAAGTTACAGGTTATGGTTTTAGCACTACCTGGCTAGGTACCACGTGGGTACACACTTTGATTTTTGTTCAATCTTCGCTAAAGTCCTAAATTACCATCGGGGAGGCTCTATCATAGCTGTACAAACCGCCCATACCCTATTGTAAGTCATCAAATCGACGGCAATCTGTAAAACTGGCATCAGGGAGCAGTCATGTAGTACGACTACCGCTCATCAACAACGTCAAATAACCCATATTCAAGGAAGCCCCACTAGAGGGAAAACTCTCATTCTTTTTGTCTGGATCTCCTTGAGATTCTCTACTCAAAGGCGCGCGTGGAATTTGAATCATTCCCGAGTTCTTTCTGAAAGATAAAGGTGATTATAGCAGTAATGAGTATCGTAAAACACATGTGAAATAACATTGATAGTAACGATGTGTTTCAAGGATAGTAAGACCAGTAATTGCAACTCACAACAAGCATCTACGAAAATTTGATGAAACCAAGTCTATGAAAGGAGCTTCAAGAGGGACCTTTCAATCAACCTTTCGGCAACTACCCTTTTTTTTCTTCTAAGAAGAAAAAGTAACATACCGATGGCAAAATCTTCCTGCATCTTTTTTTCTATCAGGCAAGCCGATGTTTGATACTTTGAAACTCAGCAGAGCTGACGCTCTTTAAATGGGCAAACAGGAAGATATCTTGATCGCTTTCCAGCTTTTCATCAACATCCAACCTCCAATCTTCAGATTGAGAACACACTACCTAGCCCGAGCTACTATCTATCCACCAATTCCTCCCGCATGCTCCCCCGATACCCAATTCGCCCTCGCATAACTTTGGCCGTTGCAAGGAAAATGACAATCCTTCATTACTATATGAAACCCCTTTCCCATCCGATCCATTCCATTCTCATCCATCCAGTAAAGATAGAAGAATAAAGTAAGATCCAAGGGAATCCAAGGAGAACAAACGTTTGCTCAAGCGCATCACCGCAAGAGATGTGTCACTCATGAAAGTACCAGGTCTGAGTCTAGGGCTTCGGATTTTTTCCCATGGTAGTCTGCATCTGGTACAGTAAATTCGCAAAAAGTATGAGATGAGAATAACAATAGCATTAACACCAATAATCAAAACATCACGTTATATATTGTCACACCTGCTCATCAATCTGCTGAGACCGCACTTTTCTGGACCATAAATCTCCAAGACCCCATGGTCTGAACGAAAAGCTCACAACCCAAATTTGCTATCGAATTCTACCAGCAAATCTATTCTGTATCCTGAGAGTGTGTTGAAGAGAATTCAGGATTTCTCATAGTCATACAATATATGTACCGTATACCACAAGCAGAAAAGGAGATGGTCGGTTGAACGACTCGGCAAGGCGACTGGCCTAGTCACTTGAATTCCCGCTCAACAATTATCCATCTTCACTGTCATCAATTTCCCAAACCAAAAAGAATTTGCCCGACTACACCCGACATGAAATTTCATCCCCAACTGCACTGACTCACCCAGCTCGTCTAATTCCACTGCCTCAATCCAAGTAAGCTATACCTACCTATCCTATCTCTTCTCCGTTGCTATGCACTCTTATTATCTTTCCAATCATCAAGAAATTTAAAGCTCTGAAAGAAAATCCCATCCTGTCCCAAAGTCATCGACAACAACAACAACAGCCAGAGTTACGCAAGAATGAAAATCAATACCCCCAGAACGATAAAATCAACAAATCAGAATAAAACCCATCGCTCTAACCTACCGAGAGGGAATCGAGAATTTCAGCAATCACACTCCAAATCCACAATCACAATCACAACCCACCTTCTCGCCAAACTCTCCAAATTCAAACATCAATACCGAGATTCATCAATGGGTATCTCGTAGTATTTATATTCCAGAACCCCCCTGGATGTCCGGCTATAGATTCACTCATCCTTCCTCCTTTTTTCATCCACCACTCACCATCCTCCTATCTCTCACTTTCATTCTTCCATTCACTCGCTCCTATTCTTTCCCCCCTTTTTTTTCACTTCCTAAAACTCCCAGCTTACACTCCCTCTCCTCAGCACATACAAACCCTTACCCCTCGTCGCTATATTCCTCTCTCCCCCAGAAAACTAAATGCCCACCAACCCATCCCCAAAAAGTTAAAATCCACCCAAACACTCTATCTGTACTATCTACACCAGCATAGACCAAAATCCAGCATCTATCCATATACATCTCAGCATCACCAAGAAAAAAACCCCCAAAAGATTCTACATTCCAACAAAACACTATAGAGCTCAAACACCTATCTAAAATATCCTCGCCAAATCCCCAAATCTTTAAATATATGACTTGTAGCTCTCTACTTAGGTCGAGGCGAAGGTGCCGATTCATGCTATCGAAATATTATTGTAGTCTTCGCTGTAGCATTGGCACAAAAGAAATATGTCCCCTAAGAATCACCGGCCACCCATTCATTCATTCAATTTCGCCAGGATACCATCAAAACAAGTCGATTTGAAGAACAATCAGCACTGTAATCTAAATATCGCAAATTCGTATCTCATATCATTATCTAGCAATTCCAGCCAAGCAAATAATTCCATCTTTTTTATATCGCGTACTAGTCTTCTGCCCATTGTCTAACCCCTCAATATATCCGGTTTTAGTAGCAATTGTAGCAGGCAAATTCCCATCTGTGTGCACCTGCTCCCAACTCCTAACTTTCCTCCAAACCAAAACCAATGCATATCTATAGCCATTAACCATCAAGGAAAATCATACTTAGTAGCATAACCAGACTTCGTATTCTCTGTATTCTTAACGGGATGAAGCAGAAGTGGGGGAAGACACGGCCTGCCATGTATTTTCTCCCACTGTGTACGTTAGCAACTGTGCGCGAACCAAGCCAGGATTGTATCATACCTCAACCCCACCAATTCCATGATCCTCCCATCCCATCCAATTATTATACAACCTACCTGGTGGAATAGCCCTATAATACCATGTAATCCCAAGAAACCTTTTCTCTTTACCCCAACCGTATGGACTGTCTGACGAAATGCCACTTTCACCCTTCGGTCCAGGGTTGAACCATTTATTTAAACTCGTCCCATTCCAAGCTCTGTCAAAGAATATTGGAAGTGGTGCATATACTGCTTTTAATCCATGAAGTAGAGCGACTGTCTGAGGTGTCATTTCGCTACTAACATGATTACCTTTGAGGTTCTCGGTATGCATAGCATCCAGTAGCTTCTTGCTACACAATGAATGGGTGATAATAGTTGTGCGACGAGGAGTATCATTACGTCCATTGAATCCCCAGACATCGTTCCTTCCAACCCACCCGGTGCCGTTTGGATTAAACATTGGTGCAACAGATATATAGTCTGCCACTTCGCCAACGCCCCATTCATAATTATCTTGTGCTGGGTCTGAAACAGGCGGAAGCGGACCGGTAGGAATGACATTTGCAACTTTTGGTGGAGCCCATATCGTATCTTTACCCGATAGAATTTCAACTGACTTACGGAACTGAGCATTGTAGGAGCCATGTATCGAAGGGATATAATATCGTTCATTTCGTTCCCATAAATATTTTCTTGGTTGGTCCATTCCAAATTTTGTGAGTTTCTCGAGAAGATCATAATGATTGCCAGTATATCGAGTGTCCATTTCCCAATTCCAATAAAAGTCAAACTGTGGATAATCAAGTGCAAAGATCTGGACGGGGAGCCATTGAGATTGATGTACGTTGGTAATCTTTTTCGGAATAAGTGGGTAGAATCCCTGTACGTAAGCTTCATTCCAAAGCACCGCGATATCATGGAATTCTTTGGGGACATTCTTCTGAAGAGCTTCGATGTAGTCTGCGTCGTTCTCTATAGCAATGGTACTGTTTCTGATATGCACGAGCAAGAAAATCTCATACTCCCCTCCAGATTTCAACGCTAGCTCTGTAATAAGCGAACGAACATTCTGCTTGTCATTGTCGTTCCACTTCTTTCCAGAGTATGATCGAAGCATAATCGCTGTACGTGGTTTGAAGGGCTCTTTGGCATCAATTGCGGCTTTGGCTGCCTTTGCTAGGTGTGCCTTAACGAGATGATATTTCTGCTTAATCTCCTCATCCTGGTTTCGATTAATGATAGTGCCAAGTACTCTCTTCTTGGTGTTGGTTTCTTTTGCCTTCGAGTCATTCCATGCCGAAGATATATTTTTAGCAGGAATCATTATTTCTTCATTAAGTGGTTCGGGGATCTCGGAAATCAGGTACCGGTTCGTGTTCTTTGCAACACATTGGCTTTGAAGCGATCCCCAATTAGTATCATCCCATTGTATGTTTTTAGGCACTTCGCGTTTATGCCGAGTTGTCCCAGCGATTGAACCAGTACTAATTGGGACCACGAAACCATCCGCGTATCCGTATAAGCCAAGCCTAGTTTCCCTCTCGAAGCACAAATTACTGTCGATATCAAAAAGCGAGAATGATCCCATCTGTGGTTGTTCGAAATTTTTTGAATGTCCTGAGAACGCCAAGATATTTTGGATTGGTCCATCTACTCCATCACATGGCACATAAGATCCTTTATTCTTTGACTTCCAAACTTCACTATTATAGTCGGGATATGGGTTGTACTCAAGTGGTTTCGATTTGGCATACGATTTCCAGACATCAATCTCTTTGAGAACTGATAGGTGAGATTCAGTATGCGAACCCACACCTATGACTCCATCCAGGGTGTTTCCATAAATTTGACCGGCACTTGGTTCCCTGACAAAGATATTCAGCAAACAGACAGTCGAAGAGAGCTATTACAAACTTACTGTCCAAGTATCGCGTTCTCTTTCACGAACTCATCCTGACTGATTGACATTGCAGTGGAAGTTGAGGTTTGTGAAGAGGACGTCGCTGTTATCGTGGTGGCCTCGGGATTTTGCATTGACAAATGAATGGTAACTCTGCTGCTCACAATCGTAGGTTCGATGAGGGTCGGCGGATCAATTGGAGCTTTTGGTGGAGCTTGGAACAAGCCCTCTTGGGGCTTTGTGACTTCAATTACCAGAGGATCGATGATTTGAATGGTAGGAACTTGTTCAAAACCTGATCCTTTCACAATTTCCGTAGTCACTGTACCTTGATATTGTTCAACCACATGGCTTACAATCTTTCCGTGGTTTCTTATCAACGTCCAAAGAATGAAGAGAGCCCCAATGGCAGAGAAGAGACTACTTCTATACCGGAGAAGCATTTTATGTAATGAAAGGAATAGGTTTTAGATGATTGACTGAAGAAATTATGAGAAATGAATGAATGAATGAATGTGAAGATGAAAAGAAAGATCAAAACCTCATCTCTGATTTGAATAGGAAATCAGTGGAAGTGAAATGAAGAGAACATTTCATTTTTCTTCCGTTTGCTCCAAGTACCAAATATACTTCACTTGGTAGTAGATACTTACTAGCTACCTAGTAAAAGTATCCTTCAAAGGGAAGGAACTCCTCTCCTCTCGTGAGAATATGAGCACGTGACCTTCAATTGATGGTCGGTGCATAATCTGATCAGAACCACCCTCCCGCTCGCTCCGTCAACTATAATCTCTTTCCTTCCTTCCTTTGCGGGTAACAACATTAAATGACAACGTATCACCGTTTATCGTACACACTTTGTACTGGCCATCTTTCAAATATGGCAGAATTGATTGGTTGAACATTGATTTATCATCAAACCGCGATTCAGTCAAATGTCCAATATCTCGGCGTCGTGCATATGCAATTTTAACCAGCATATGCAGTCATGCTTCTTCGAGAGGTAACTGGTTGAAATTTTGGCAGCCCCCCATCTAAGTGCAAAATGATGGGAGCCGAGCGATTGCAAATTGGTGACGAGCATATTTTATCATCTCATCGAGTCATTATTTTCATGGTCCTGTTTGTCCGTTGCATTTTGCAGATTGCAGATGGTCGTCTATCTGACAATATCCATGAGGGGTAAAATGCAGATTACTCCTATCTTGGCAAGTGCCCTGATAGATTGTATTGCCGCCTTCGGTACTTGACATGTTGATTATCAAAATGGCGCATTGCACTGTTCAAATAAAAGAGCAATCTCACCATGTCACCACTCATGAGCCTACCAGATTGGTTCCTATCGATTGACCCGGACGGTACACACCTAACAAATATGCATCATTCCCTTGAGGGGACATGCCTCGGAAGCATCTCTCGGTGGAGTACTCGGTTGAAGATTATATCCTCGGTGTTTGCAAATACATCTATATAATGGACAGTTTCTATTGTGCGATGTAATACGATGTTTAATGCTATCTGCAATCATCATTTAGTCAAGATGCTTCTCTCCAGTATCAATATTTACCCAACGTTGAATTTTTTAGTCCTCACAATAGTTACTTCTATTGCCTATCGTATAATTTACAATTTATACTTTCATCCTTTGGCAAAGTTCCGTGGGCCATGGTATTCCTCTTGCTTTTCTCTCCCTCTAGCGATTATCTCGGTAAAAAGATGGGAACATCAATGGGTAGATGGTCTGATCGAGAAATATGGAAGTATGCCAAGCTTTCAGATAACAACGATAGCTATAAATTGGGCTAATAGTTCTCAGGAGATGCACCAATTCGTGTTGCCCCTGAAATGCTCCTCTTTCCACGACCATCCGCGTTGAAAGAGATATATTGGGACCGAAGTCTTAACGAAAAGTCCACTTTCTATGGTACTGGTCTCTTTGGTCCGCCGAACGCATTCTCTACCCTTCCATCTGTTGCGCACATACCTTTAAGGAAAGCGCTGGGGGCTGCACCGGTAAGTTTTAAACCCATTGTTATGGAAATGCCTGGACGATATTTTTCTCTGCTCCAACTTATTAGGGAGCTTTTTCCACCGTCGCTAACATGAAATCTGCAGTGGGCACTCGGAGAATTACGGAAAGATTGGGAGAAGAGCATGGATGATCAAATACTCCTTTTTACTAAGATTATGACGGAGAAGGCAAATGCAGGTGAAACAGTTGATCTCTCTGATAAGGTAGCGTAAGTTATCCATTGTCTTACCTTCTCAAAATAAAAGCTTACTCTTTACAGAGAGTTCGCGGCCGATTTTATGACGGTGTTCTCATTTGGTCAACCATGGGGCTTCGTGAAAAATAGTCGAGATGAACGAGACTTACTCCACCACTGGAGAGAATCCCTTGATTTCGTTGGCTTTGTGGCCAGATTCACCTTGTTTCGAAAATACATCATAAATCTTCCAGGGGTTGCATCATGGTTATTACCCGAGCCCAGCAGTAAACGTGGTGTAGGATATCTAATTTATGAAGCCGATCGTGCCATCACGCAGCGTGAATATGAGACATCTCAGGGCGTATATCCAGAGAAGCCTGACTTTTTACAACAGTGAGTATTTTGATCTCAAATTTGGGCCAGTGAGAATTGCACTAAGTTTTGCAGTTGTCTCGACGCAAGAATCAATGACGAACCACTTACTCCCCTACAAAAACGTTCCCACGTGACCCTTCTCATCCAAGCCGGCGCTGACACTACCGCTACTGCCCTCGGCGCCATTATTCGTTTCCTAGCTATAACGCCCGGCTGTTACGATAAAGCGCTGGCTCAAATTCGTGAAGCTGAATCGCAGAATTTGCTTTCAACGCCAATCCAGGATGAAGAAGTGCGAGCTCATCTTCCATATCTAATCGGTGCTGTCAAAGAAGGTATGCGTTTAAGCCCCAGCGTAACTAACTGGCTTCCGAGGATCGTTCCACCAGAAGGGAAGATGATCAATGGATTTTTTGTGCCAGGGGGGATGGATATTACGAGTCAAGCTATGGTCGTACAAAGGGATCCGATTTTGTTGTAAGGTTCCTGCTCTTTTGCCTTCCCTCCGTTCTCTCTTCTTTTTTCCTTGTGTCTCTTTCTCGCTGACATAAAAAAGCGGCCCCGACCCAGATGCATTTAGGCCAGAGCGCTGGATGGATGGTAAAGATGTGGACTTGGAACATGGTATGTTCCTTTTTGGAGTGGGGCCAAGAGTTTGCTTGGGAAAAGAGATTGCTTTGATGGAAACCTACAAGTTAATATCCGAGGTGAGTGATTCGATTCTTTTGGTTATTAGAATCCTCGTAATCTGAGAGTTGGGAGAGTAGTGGATAGGATGAACTAACATACTCTCTAAAGATCGTCCGACGTTTCGATATCGAAGTCTTCAAGGAGGGAATATATACTTCCGCGGGTGGAATAACATACAACAAGGATTTCATCGTGAAAATGCATCCACGGACAGTGGATTGATCGAATTTTTCTCCGAGCGATTGGGAAACTTGACGACCAGAACTCTGAGCTTGGAATGATTTCCTGCATGCTGTGGTTGGGGGGCTATATCTAGCTGATTGGAGCTTTTTATCTCAGCCCATCTTTCCTTTCATCTCTATCAAGGGCGGGGAAAGAGTGATTAGTGGAATTGCATGACTGATTTTCCTGGGATAACGAATTAAATATATTAAGAATTTCACCAGTGTATAGCTTAATCAATTCTACATCACGCCCTGGCTTTTAGAAAAAATAATCCAGCCAGCTATGTCACCTTTTGTTTGCATACGAGGACAATGACACAGTGATTGTATCAAAAGGCTTCCGAAATTTCAAGAAATTAGTTTTCAATATATGATTCTATGAATCTGGTTTAGGAGAGTTCAAAGATGCAATAAGATTATCTACTCTCGGGAAATATTTTACCAGAAACCATCGAGGCCGGTTCATGAACTTCCTCACTGCGCCCCAATATTTAACAATGCTTCACCACAACAATTTCACAGCACTAGCATATCACAAAATTTTCTTGACTGCACACGTTACACAATCGAAGCTTTGGATGTGGTAAGTTTGATTGCACTGAAGATCTGAGTACGGTTTAGCCAAATTGGCAGATAATTGGTATTCACATATTTGGGTAAACTCCAAAGCGATCAATATCTACTCGATCCATAGAATTTTTTATCCTCCGTTTCGTTTCTCATTTCTGCACTTCTATTTATTCTACAATACTAGTAGAATCCACCGGCTACGTCTAGCATGGTAGCAAGTATTCCTAGCCCAACAATGCCAGATAGCGAGGCACCATGCACTTATTCTAGTGGAATTGATTGTGCAGTTGATTTGATTCTCGCTTCAGAAATAAGTGCAATTCCAGCTACAAAAGCGATGATTATGTCGGCGAAAATAATAATGTCGACACAGTTCGCCACCAATGATAAATTGATTCAAGCTGGTACTGGTAGTGCATCAACGACCGAAACCGCCCAAAAGCATGATCATCAATTGACGAGGGAAGAAAGAATAGTTGATGCTATATGCGAGCCCGTGGCTTTCAATTGTTTAATCGGCACGATGCTCATTGTTTCCTATCGGCGAGGAATACGAGCAAGAGGTTTGAAGAGGAGCTCTCAAGGATACAGTAATGCGGAGCTGAAATCTAGACCACGTCAATCACATTTCGCGAAAATAGACGACCCAAGAATGTACCAGAATTGGGGATTACAAATGTGAATGAGCTTCCAGCTAGTTGTAGCGCGAGTATCCCCACAAAATTGGAGGGGGGAGGCATTTTTCCATGATATTATTCAAGGTCGATGCAGGCGCCGGCAAGAGTTCTCAACCCTTGGGCTGTTTTCGAACTTTGAGCGGCTTCGATTGTTTCTTCGCTATTCGTTCTCTCTCTTTCTCAGCTGGATCGACAATCAAAGTCTTGAACACATCATCATCCCTATGAGTTAGCTTCTTTTCACCTACATCATTGTTAGTGATGCCTCAAATCAGGATTGTGGGGACCGTTTACAAAATTCCGTATATGCAATCTTAAGTTCCGAGAAAGTATTCGCAAGCATGGGAGCATCTGGGGCTACTCTTCCGGCAGCTTCAGCTTCCCATTCCGTGGCCAGTGGTGTATTGTCGCCTCTGCAAAGAGTGCTGAATGCCACAGCCAATTGCTTATACATGAAACCACATTGTTCGGATCGTTTTTGAGGATCTGTTTTCCCAGGGTGAATGCAATTTTTCAGGTCTTCGTCTGTCTTGCATCTTGGAAGATTAGACCTCAACTCGATTCGTACGACTCGTTCCCGATAGAAAAGCATCAGTCTTAACAAACATATACCGGCAATAATACGCGTTTGTTTGTTGCTTGCAGACTTCTTGCAGAGATTTTCAATTTCGGAAAAGAAATATTTTTCAGCTTCCTCGAGACCCTCGGAGGCTTTAAGGCGGACTTGTTCACGGACGGTATCTGGAGAGAAAGTGTCATTGATTGTGTTGACTACATCAAGCTGGCCATGGGGATGGCAATGGATATTTGCCACTCCGTAGAAAACAAGGCTATTTAAGCTCGTGATTCTGAATGCAGCATTGCATAGGCATGCCTGTTATTGGTCAATCAATATCCAAATTTTCATAGAACAATACAACTCACCAGATGCGACCCAAAATATTGTTTGCAATAGATGTAGAGAAATTTATCCAAGATGTGTGTTATTTTACCAGAATGGCTCTCGGGAGAAGATAAAAGGATTTCCCTGCCGAAGAAATCTAGTTCGTCAACAGTAGGCAGTGAGTCTGGGACAACTAGATATGTCTTATCTCGCAACGACTTGTGTGTTATGTAAACACCATTCATTTTTGTCAAGCTTCTCCACCGGCAGAAATCCTCAGATCTACAAACCATCACTTTACAGGGAAGTGAGCGACATGGAAAGTTTGCCATGGAACAGTCGGCACGAAGTTCGACCTTTGCCATATGACCTTCAAGTGCACTGAGTAGCTGATATACTTGCGCTTTCCCAGATGTGAGCAATCTGGTTTGAACATCTATGCTAAGTCAGTATTTAGAAGAGTATCTTTGGGTGGTTCTGACTACCTGTAACTCCAAGGTACACATCTTTCAATTTATGTCGGATGCAAATTTGTCGAGCCATAAGTGGATCACCAGCCAACTTGAAGCATCGATCACAAACGCCATCAGATGTACACTGCAATATTAGATCCTTGCTCCGGTGATGAATATAGATATAATTAACTGAACATACCTCGACTTTACGAGCTCGACAACTTTGACACGCTCCAGCTTGTCTAACCAAATGGACTTTCAACTTTTCCCTTCGATTGAACTCTTTTCTCTTTCTCTTCGGCGCTTTTACTCCACTGTGAAAATTTATCAAACAGTCTTCCATATTTTGAGGAGTTCCCACAGCTATGTCATGAAGGGATGAAGTTGCTTGATCCTCAGCGATAGGGGGTTCTATCCGAGGCTCTGATGGTACCGATTCGGGCACCTCATTTTGAACCTCGTCAATTGGCGAATCTCTTTCAGATGCACCACTATTCAGGCATGTATTCTCAGAATACATCCGAACTCTAGGTTGAAGAGGCTCACAAGGTAAGTGCGGCTCTGTAAATAAAGTGTCTTCAAAAGAGGGGTAAAGTATCGATTCGGGTGACTCAAGAAATGATGTAAGCCACCCGTCAGACTCGAGATTTGGAAGATGACCACCAAGAGTATTGTAACTATTGAGAGAGAAATCAATCGCAGCTGGCTCCGGAAAGTAAGTGCTTGAAGAGTTATTGTTAGCCGTATCAAATGCCCAAGGACCATTGCCTGGCTCTACAACGGATTGAGGTGGAAGGACCGAGTCCACCATTTGCCATTGAGAATTGATATCTAGATTATCCTGTAAGAATGTATCCATATCAAAAGTAGAATCTGGAAACGTCATAAATGACTCCAGCTCCTCGTTCGTGATGGTTTTCTCCTCAAAAGATAATTCTCCAGCATCGTGTGGGCCTTGGATCGTCATCCGGGGTAATTTTCCATTGATGCGTGACTCCATTATGCAGGATTCTGAGTCTGCTTTGCATGAATATGCGGGTGGCAGGAGACGATAGTCACAATTGCTAAGATAGTCTAGCCTCCGAACTGGATAGCTGCGAGATGATCTTAGTTTTTATATCACTAAAATGTGAATGGTCTTTCGAATCTCAAAAGAACATTGCTTCGATCAGGAGTTAGTGGGGCGAAAATTTTATCTGACTACACCCGTGATTATGCGGAAAAGTGTACCGAAATAATGCCGTTGAAGCCGACAGCTACAAACAAAACCAGTGTAGAGTATTCTTCTACAATGTTAGAAGATCGAATCGAGTAGAAGTGTTTTCTTCCGGGTCAATGAAATGAGCGGTGGCAAGAATACAATGAACGATTATTAATGGGTATCGACCATAACTCGGATGTTCCGGCTGCGTCGGATATATCGGTTCATATACGGACCGGCAAATGAGTTCTACTTACCCGATCGAATATCGGAATGCCCGGGAGTCTATAGACACCGTCGCAAAGCTGTTCATGTTCGATAAAGGAATTTGAAGTCCTCGATGTAACGAAACCATGAAATGGTCTAGTTCTGGCAGTATTCGTGCTCTCAAAAGGAACACTATAGACCATTCGTTGAGGCTACAACTATAGCACGACTACATGCGAGTGCAGCGGAACTCAAGGCGAACGGGATGCTTCTGAGGGCCAACAGAGATGTAAACTCATTAAGATTCAAACAGAACAGTGTCAACAAGGAAGTAGACTATGCACCTTAACCCCGTTTTTGAACATATCCGGCCATGAGAACAAATTCATAGATTCAGAAAGTTTTGAGGGACAAATTAAAGTTTTTAATGGTCTTCATGTAAGTTCCGGGGAAGTTAGTAGATTAGCTGAGAAGTGGTCTCAGATGGAACTCAACCGAGAATGGACTCAACCGTCGGATCATGATAGCGGGCAGACGACACATGCCAAGACTCTGGTCATATGACTTTTGTCCGAAGAAACACCGACGAACACATGACATGATACGAGAACCCTCACGTTACATGCCTACGCCGGTAGACCTTCCCCGTACAACATCTCAATCTTTGAACAGCCTGGATGCCAAGCGGTGAAATTTTCCATGTTGCATTCACAATTCTCATGCGTATAGGAGCGCATATGAAGCACATACGTATCCGATATCACTGGCTGCTTGCTAACCTTTTCACGGGCGTCGACAATCAATCCCGACCAGTGCAGGTGAGAATTGACCAGGCGTTACCTTGTGCCCCCTCATCTCTCAAAGGATTCACTTCCATGACATTAGCAAAATAGTGTCATTGTGGGGTAGTGCCTAGCGAGGGACCAAGAAGACCCGTCATCTTTCATGCAGAATTCGCGGGGATGAAGACAAAATGAGGGGTAAATTGTGTAAATCGGCCCGTTCAATTTTACGCATTGCTTCTTTCAATAGTAAATCTAAACTAAGACTTATTTTGACGGCCAACGGCCGAGAATAAGTGTACTAAAGTATTTTCGTCTCTAGCGGTCTTCGTCGTCTTCGCCTATCAAAAAACTATCGAGATGCGATTCACCCTAAGACCTGCATACACAATAGCGTTCTAGGAATTATCACTTGCAAGTCAAAATTTGTTGTCAACCTGTCTCATGCACGGTCACATCCGTATACATGCAAGATTCCATGCCGATCACAGGTGAACTTCCTACTTTGAATTTGCCCCTTAATCCCCCGTCCAGATCTACGGAGTATAAGAAGTGGCGGACGTTTGGAAAAATCAACCAATATCGCCAAGTTAATCAACATGGTCAAGACCATACTTTTCTGGCTGTTTTTTACAGCAAGAGCTGTTTCAGCAGCAAATATTGACTTCTTACGCCGTGATATAAGCCACCATACTAATGCCACACTTCCTCTCTCGAAATGTCCAGGTTACAAAGCTTCTAATGTCAAAACAACAGGATCAACCCTTTCCGCAGACCTGACCCTGGCTGGACCTGCTTGCGACACTTACGGTACCGACTTGAAAGGTCTATCCTTAAAAGTGGTATATGAAACAGGTCGGCAAGCTTCACCTCAAGACTTCTATTCTTGCTAACTAGTGCTAGATGATCGCATACATGTGCTGATTCAAGATCCTGCCAATGTTGTGTACCAAGTTCCTGAATCAGTCTTCCCTCGCCCTACTGGATCGTCAGCCAATTCCAAGGATGCCAATATCAAATTCCATTATGTCAGCTCTCCATTCTCATTTTCAATCACACGAGCAAAGACAGACGAGGTCTTGTTCGACACTTCCGCTGCAAGTCTTGTATTCGAATCGCAATACTTGAGATTGAGAACGAAATTACCGTCCAACCCAAATCTATATGGTCTCGGCGAGCATTCCGATGCATTCCGTTTAAACACTACAGATTATATCCGCACGCTGTGGTCTCGTGACGCCTATGGAACTCCTGCAGGTAGCAATTTATACGGAAACCACCCGGTATATTTTGAACATAGAACTGGTGGTACTCATGGAGTGTTTTTTATGAATTCAAATGGTATGGATATTATGATCAACAATACAAATGGGAAAAATCAGTATCTTGAGTATAACACTCTCGGGGGTGTTTTAGACTTTTACTTTCTAGCCGGACCCGATCCAATTGTTCTATCTCAGCAGTATTCAGAGCTTGTTGGCTTACCCGCAATGATGCCTTATTGGGGTTTTGGGTTTCACAATTGTCGTTATGGTTATCAGGATGCTTTTGCAGTCGCAGAAGTTATCTACAACTATTCGAAGGCAGAAATCCCTCTTGAAGTTATGTGGACAGATATTGATTATATGGATGCAAGAAAGGTAAGGAGTATACTATGCTTGAAACATACATAACTAATTCTTGAAAGACCTTCACTCTCGATCCTGAGCGTTTTTCATTGGATATGATGCAAGACATCAATCACTATCTCCACAATCATGATCAAAAGCAAATCCTCATGGTCGATCCCGCGGTTGCATATCAAGACAATACTGCTTACGATCGTGGAGCTGTCGATGATATTTTTCTCAAGCGAAATAATGGATCTTTCTGGCTTGGGGTCGTATGGCCTGGAGTTACTGTATTCCCAGATTGGTTTTCCAAAAACGTCGTAAGCTGGTGGAACAATGAGTTTTCTACATTCTTCGATCCAACGACTGGCGTTGACATTGATGGACTTTGGATCGATATGAATGAACCATCAAATTTCCCATGTTACTTCCCATGCGATAATCCATACGCATCAGCAGTAGGATTTCCTCCTGATCCACCTGCAGTCAGAACACCACCTCGTGTATTACCTGGATTCCCCTGCGCATTCCAGCCTTCTGGTACAACCAATTGTACAGATCCAAGCAGCAGACGATCAATTACTAGCAGAGATCCTAAGATTGTCTTGCCGGCTCAAGCAAATCCCTTAAAACGAGCATCAGGGGCACAGCAAGGTTTGCCCGGGCGCGATTTACTTTACCCCGGATACGCAATTCATAACGCTGCAGCGTACCTTCCTTCCTGGAACGCCGCCGAAGGAGGAATTTCCAACCAAACTATCAATACAGATGTAATTCACGAAAATGGTCTCGCTATGTACGACACTCATAATCTTTACGGAACCATGATGTCGACCGCTTCCTATGACGCAATGGCAAACCGCCGGCCGGAAGATCGTCCTTTGATCATTACACGCAGCACATTCGCCGGTGCGGGTACCAAAGTAGGCCATTGGCTTGGAGACAATTTCAGTGACTGGCTCCACTACCGTATGTCTATCCGTGGCATGTTAGCTTTTGCATCTATATATCAAATTCCCATGGTCGGCGCCGATGTATGCGGATTTGCGGAAGATACTAATGAGGAACTGTGTGCTCGCTGGGCTATGCTCGGTGCTTTTACCCCATTCTACCGTAATCACAACAGTTATCCTCCAGTCATTAGCCAGGAATTCTATCTCTGGCCTGCCGTCACCGAAGCAGCTAAGAAAGCGATCGATATACGGTATCGATTGATAGATTACCTATACACATCTTTGTATCGACAATCTGTTGATGGAACGCCACTTATCAATCCTATGTTTTACATTTATCCATCTGATCCTGCCACCTTTGGATTGGAAACACAATATTTCTACGGGCCTGGAATTCTTGTTAGTCCAGTCATGGAAGGTAGTTCTACGACTGTGGATTTGTATCTTCCAAAGGACATATACTATGACTTCTACACGCATGCTCTAGTGACTGGCCATGCAAACACAATTCAAATTACCGATCAAAATATCACTGATATACCCCTTCATTATCGCGGTGGAGTCATCGTTCCTCAACGTATCGAAAGCGGAATGACGACCACAGAAGTCAGGAAGCAAAACTTTGAGATTATTGTTCCAGTTGGTGCTGATGGAACAGCAAAAGGAGAATTATATCTAGATGATGGAGTAAGTATTGTGCAAGAAGGATATTCATTGATTGAATTCTATTGGGATGGAAAAACTTTTGATGTATCTGGACATTTTGGGTACGATGCTGGGGTGAGTATCGAGAGGGTTGTCTTCTTGGGATTGGCCAGTAGCGCGAGTGGCAATGGAAAGCAATATAGTACAAACGTGAACTCCCAGGTCAGTTCTCAAGGCGATATAGTTGTGAAGGTTGCAAAGGAATTAAGTGGGGGATTTTCAATCGCAGTTTAAGGTGAAAGATGAGAATACGAGGGTCTCGGTGATGCTGAGTGAAGAGATGGCAAACGGCGGTACATAATTTTAGCACATAATAATACAAAACAGCTTGTTATTGCAACTGATTTCAATGGAAATGAGTTCCGGATATTCTGATGGCGAAGTTTCATTTATCACACTGTACAAGAGGAGAAATAGCTCTCTGCATACAGCGTCCGCGTTTCGTCAGATGACGAAGGTTTTATCTCGGGAGTTTATTGCCGGATCTTACTAAGATCTTAATCGTTATCAAGAAGCCCGGTTCACAAACAGTATTACTTACACCCACTGAATAGTCGGAAGATAGCTTGGGGTTACATCTTGAATTCCAAAGTTTCCGCAAAATTACAGGGCTGGGCACTGGGTAGAGTATATTCGGGGTAAACCGGGGTATAACCCAACCAATATTATATTTAGTTTTATTTTTATAAAGTAAGTGTTGGTTTGAGAAGGACACGGAAGATATAGTACCTACGAACTGTAGGTCCTAAATGTCTATGCTGTATTCTGTCTAAAGAGCTAGCTATGTACAGGAAGTAGTAGGTCTTATATAGATGTTGGTTCGAGAAGGATACGAAAGACGTAGCACCCACGTATTGTAGGTCCTGTATGTCTAATTGTATTTTATCTAAAGAGCTAGCTATATAGGAAAGTAGTAGGCTTTATATAGGCATTATTGAAAAAACTAGTTTCTTTTGCTTTCACTTAATTCCTTTGATATAGTAACCATTGTATTGAAGTCATTCCTTTGAAGTGAATACCCTGTTTATATACTCAGAGCTCTCTTTTATGATCTTCAATATATATAACCGAAAAAGAAATTCGTAAAATTATAAAAATCCTTAATCCCTTTTTATTTATTTCATTACCTTAATTTCAATCTTATTTGTATTAATTAAATCAGTGAGGGCTTGGTATAGTTTTCTTTTTGTTATTGTATTGGCTGGATTAGTTGGACTATTGATCTATATAACTTCGACAATCTCTCTTCTCTTGTAGGATTGGTGTAGTGCCATGATATCGATTATTAGTCTCTTTTCACTGGTTGTGTCTAACTTGGTGAGCAAGTCATACAACGACTTTGAATCAGTGCATAAAACTAATTGTTGTAGAAACGTCGATCTGTAAGGAATGCCTCAGCAGGTGTACCTTGTCTCGGAAATGCCTTTCGATAGGAGTCGATAGTTTGCTTAATCTGGTTAATGAGATCCGAGACGCTTGAACGGGGGTTGCATATCGCAGAGTGGCATTCCGGAACACCATCGCACGCGGACAAAATCTTAATGTAGTATGATTGAGGGTCGCGCATGGTCGGGGGAATAGTATGCTGGAGGAAGCGTAAATCCTTGATCATTGTATTAAACACCTCTTGAAGATCTGTACCAGGGTTGTTCTCGATATAGGCTTTGAAAGAGACATTGTTCCATTTGAGAAGCATATTTCGTTGATGTTCAGGTCCTTCGAAATTGTTGACCATCATCTCGCACAATCCTTGATACGTATCAGGAAGATTGCTTAGGTTGGCTTGATAGTAATCTCTGGCCGCACCTGAGAGCATGATTGGGAAGGCCGTCGTAGTCATCTCGGATGGTACAAATACTCTGCGGCAGTGTTCCCCGAATATGGAGATCTTCAAATCAAAAGAATCATCAATGCCTTTATATCTGTCGTCAACTCTATAGATCTTTGAGAGATCGACAAGACAGCGGCTCTGATTGCGTTGATCGTTGCTCTGATCGTTCTTGTGATTGGGGTGATCAGAATGATTATGATTCCTACCACCTCTGCCACCATTACCACCTCTACCACCGTCACCACCTCTACCACCGCCCCAATCGTTCCCGTCATCAGAACCATCCGAGTCGTCATCACCATCACCAGGTGATCCTGCAGGGGCGTCTACCAGCGGATCTTTACTGGATCCCGGTAAAGCTACGTGTGGAACTCGTACATCCCTAGAACCATGGGATGAGGGTGGTTCTCCGCGTACGTCGAAAGGAGTAGTTGGGCTACCTATAACTTTGCCAGATTTCGGCAAAGTTAGGTGACCAGCTGGGCCACCATCCAGAGGCCTGACAGGGGGTTGGCAGGAGGCTCGGCTTGTGGTTTTGTACCGAGTCCGACGGGAAGATTGGCCCATTTCGCGGATACGAATGGTTGTGTCTCATCAGTCTGGTATTCCAGAAGTTGTTCCTTAGTCCAATCATGGTGTCTTTTGCGCAAGAACACCTCCATAAGAGCATCCTCGATGCTCATACTGAGATCAACGTACACCCCATAACATCGCAGAACTCTGCGAAAGTCACAAAGCGTCAACTTATCAGCACTCTTGATCCAGGATCGTCGAATGCTCTCGAAATCGCATGCAACTACCTCCTGAAGGGATGCATCAGTGACTCCTGCTTTTAAGTATGCAGCACTCCTGAATTGAAAATAGCCATCAATGTGATGCTCTGTTGCAAGTCTAAACGTGAATCCTTTGTAGAACTGTTTGGCCACAAAGAGGTCCTTTGGGAAGGAATAATCCTGGGATTCCCCTTTGAACTTCGTATCTCTTGGGTTCTCCTTTTCCTTATTCTGGGAGCTTTAGTTTCTGGAAACATAGCTGTGTCGGAAGGAGGGTGAGGAGGAGCACTACTCATTTCTTCGTAAAGATCGTACTTGTCGTCTTGTAGTGGATCGGTACTGGCAGTGTCGTTGTAGGCTCCTGTGATTGTAGGTATAGGTTGATCAGGCTGCTTGCCAGCTTGTTTAGAGCTAGCATTGTACATTGTTGTCCGGGATGTCATGGTGTTGACGATGGGAATAAAAGAGTAAGGGTAAGAAAGGTAAGAAGGTTTTTCGAATAATTAGTTAAGTAATTTGTGATATCACTAATTAGTGTTGGTTCGAGAAGGATACGAAAGACGTAGCACCCATGTATTATAGGTCCTGTATGTTTAATTGTATTCTATCTAAAGAGCTAGCTATATAGGAAAGTAATAGGCCTTATATAGGCACTACTGAAAGAGCTAGTCTCTTTCGCTTTCGCTTAATTCCTTTGATATAGTGACCATTGTATTGAAGTCATTCATCTGAAGTGAATACCCTGTTCACACAATGGACCTACTGAAAAAGCTAGTCTCTTTCGCTTTTGCTTAGGGCTTGTAATACAGTAGCTAATGAATTGAAGCTATTCACTGTATGATCAACGTTCATACGATCAACGTTCATACAGTAAGGTAATCATTTTATAGATTATTTGGGTATCTGGGGTACTTACAGGGTATATAGTATATATTGTGAATATTTGAGAGTATATTTGAGAGATTATAGGTATTATAGAATAATAGGTTTTTATTTAAATTATAATATAATTTTGAAATCAAATAAGGAAAAAATAAAGATATATTATTTGCTTATTCTAAAATAACTATCAATAGCTTTTATATAGTTTCTTTAAAAGCTTTATCTCTATTATTAATATAATTATTTAAAGAAAAAGAAACTTATTGGTACGCTAAGACTAGTACACCTGCGTACATAGATACATATATAGCCTCTCCGTAGTATAAATGAGAACTTCGTCCTTCTTTTATACTATTCTCGTACTACTTATAAAATAATATATTAAATAGAATAATATAAATTTTTAATAGTATAATTCAAATAGTATAAACTGATATTTTTGATTCTATTATATAATTAGGAATAATCTCCTTTTTAGATAATAACTATAGAATGATTATATAATATTTATTTGTGAATATCTCAAATACCCAGATTATTTGGTGAATATATACCTTGTAAAAGCTTACAGGGTAGAGTATACTACCCTGTGAGGCCAGATACCCCGGGTAGGGTACGGGTGTCTAGCCCTGCAAAATTGCTCAGGGTAGCTAGTAACATGACTCATTATCAAATACAACAGCCTAAACAGAGAATGACACTAAACGACTATCATTACTAACTCGAGTGATTACTTGGTTATCAACTATAGTTACCATATACTTCTATTAGCTGAAACTCTATAAAACGCGTCTTTTCATATGTTATATTTTTATAATTATATTTTATTATTTTAATAATACTTTTAATTTATATTATACAATATATTAGAGATATACAAAATGATTCTTATAAATATCTTATTCTATATATATACAATAAAATAATTAGCAAAATAGAGAAAGACCTCAGTTTTTATTGAATTATAAAGAACCTCAAACTCTTTTACAAAACCATATAATACACTTTCTTACAAAATCTAATACATAACGATAGCATATACCTACCACACACCAATTGATTTAAATCATATACTAAACAAAACAAATAAATACTATTACAATATATACAATTATTTTCGAAAGCTATATATAAATAGATTATTTAAGAAATTAGATTTAATTATAATATTAAAACTATTAAAAGGATTTTGATTAAATATAATATAGCTAATTAAAGATATAAAAAAAGACTAAAGCTTATATTAGTATATATTACTAAACAAATTAAATAATATTTAGTTTATAGAGAATTAATAATTAAAGAATAAAGTCTAATTGTATAATCAAATAAATACTTTATAAAACAAGGAAGAGAAAAAAGATTAGAATAATGTTTTTATATTAGTTTTCAGAAATAGAATTTAGAAATAATCGAAATATATAATACAAATAAGAATATAAAGATTATATATTAGAAAAGCTTTTAGAATATTAGAAAAAGTAATCTATATATAATGAATAGGGATTTTGAGAATGTGAAATATAGGTATAACACTAATTCTTATCTCAAGGTTTGTGAAACTGAAATAAGTTCTATTTTCGAAAAGCTTAATCCAAAATATGAATTTATATAGAATAATGTATTTATTTATTGTGTCTATAAGGTATAAGATTAGTTTCAAGAAAAAAAGATCTCTTTATTAAAGGATTGGTTTTCTTATTTCTTTAATTTTAATTTTATAGAGTATATATAGTGGGCCCTAAAAATAAGGGTATATAAGATATTTCCTAATATCGCTATTAATAAAAGCAAATCAGAATATACTTGTCAAAGATTAGAGAGTTGTTTATAAACAGCTTAAAATATATTAAACAAAGAATTATTTAATAATTTAGAAGTTAATATATCTTCTAGAATTGAGGCTTATATTATAGTGAATAACTAATATACTAAATATTAATAGATTGAAAGTTAACAATAGAATAGTTTTTATATATATCAATAATATAAGAATATATTATTTATTTATTCAAATTTGATAATTTTATAATTCTTAATTAATTTAATATTTAATATCAAAAAAGGATAGTACAATATATAACACCATAAAATAAGCGGGGGGGCGGATATAAGTGGCCTAGTACTATATATGACGGCTGTGTTCCTTGTTTTCTTCTAAATAAGGCTGTAGATAGGATCAAGATAAACCTCACACATCAACGTTGCCATACACTGCCGATTCAATCAATCATCAAAATCTGCCTCTAAGACAAGAAACATATTTCAGAATGTCAGACACGCCTATGTGCCACATCTGTAGACAGATCTCTAGACGCTCAGCGCGAGGAGTGAATATCCTTTCGACCCCGTATAGCTCAAGCTAACTCAGCTCGCAGTTCGTCCTCTTGAATCCAGGCAAACTGGAACATTGCTTGCTTTGCAATCGACTCTTCTGTGCAAAACACAAAGCGGTTGAAAACAACACTATTTGCAAGATCAGACATGATAGTTATTATGATAATCACTGGCAATTACATGGTACGGGGACGATTTTTCGAAGCATGACACATCGAAACATAGAGATGGATCCGTCCAACGCTGGGTTTGATCGAATAACGAAAGTGTTGATGGAGAGAGAAGAGGACAAGAAGATAGTAGAGGAAGAGAAAAGGCGAATTGAGGAGGCGGCCAAGAGCGAGGGGACAAGCGAGGAAATTGCAAAGCATGAGTAAACTTGGAAGCAGAGAAAGGCTCTTAGGGCACCACCATCCCAGATGCAGCTTGCAGTTAGGCGGGTTTCGACTTTGGGGGGTAGATGCTTAGCTGGTGGCGACTTCAGTCGATCCATCCGGCGAAATTTGGAAACTTGGCAGAAATCGTTCATATGTCTCCCCTCAACATGTGCATGTTCTGCGAATATAGTTTTATGTATTATCAGCATCTGGATACATGATATCAAAGGGAAAAAGAGGACTTGATAATATGCCAATGTTGAATATGGTATTTAGCTACTTTTCGAAGCGAAAGCATTTCTCTCATCCATCCCCTCATCATTCATGAACCGTTAACTTTTGACACCTTCATAACATATGAAGTCCCTCGTTCATATTCTAGATTCAGACATTCCAAAGATTATGCAAGACGATTTCTCTAGTGTTAAAACGCCTCTTCGCAAACGGATATTCCAAAAATCTATGTCGACTGCATCAGCAAGTAATCATATAAACACATGAAATAAGCTGGCACTCACTCCCACCTTGCAGCAAAGTGCAAGTGCTTCTTGATCCTTGCAGAACTTTTTAAAGTCGTCATCAGTGGTTAACGTTGTATTTCCGGACACATCTGTACGATTCTCAGTTATCCTACGATGCACATCAGTGGCAAGAATAGCGCTTACCAGAGCAATAGATGAGGTTGTAGGTGTTTTTCGTGTTTTGAGCGTCAGGAGGGCAGCAGTATGGCACGTCATACTTTTCGTTGGTGGTGCAAAGGTTTTCATCTCTCTTTTCAACACCAACTGAGACTGGAGATGCCATTGCCACCACAAGGGTAGTTGCAGTGGACATAAGACTGAGAATATATAAGAAATGCATTTTTAGTTGATTGAGATAGGCTTGAAGTAAGTTAGAATGAAGACGATGTGCTAAGGTGTGATGGGTGATAAGATTTGACTGGAAGGAAGAGAATATTTATACCTTTTGTATTCTTTTGCTTCCGTTGAACCATTTTTGTGTAACTATTCGATATAAGGTTATATGCTGGTCCTCCATCGCTCAGCTAGTCTCTTCTCAAGAAAGCTTTCTGAGCGAAAGCTAAGAGTATCATTGGCTCAAGAATTGGATCCAGCATCTTCATGCATGTATCAATTTACAATGGAAGTTATGTGAAATTCACCATCACCGTGCTGAGCTGCCAATAGGCTGAAGTTTTCTTATTGGAGATATCGATGTTAGATCAAGTGATCTAAGTTCGAGCGGTGACATGAAATTAACCATGGGCTCAGAGACATATCTAAGTCATGAACACAGAAGACCTGTAGAAAAAGCGAGATATGCAAATGCTGTCAAAAAGAAATAACAAATCCGGTTAGACTTGGTGGGTCTAATGCATCGATCTACAACAGGGCGTCCCTGCAGCTTCTTAACACTAGATTATGGGCCCCAGAAGTGAAAAGTTCGAGTTGTTGAGTGCGATCTTCAATTGTTCGATCGGTTAGCAGGGTAAGCATGTGGCCGATTCTTACAGCACCGTTCTCTCTGGAACAGATTCGACCTCGATATCCGGTTCTAAATCGTCCAGAGCTAGAGCAGTAACTTTCTGTTTGGAGAGAGCCGTCTGAAATAGCGGTGGAACCTCGAATCTCATAGAACATGGGTGAGAAAATCGGAGGTTTCCTGGTTGGGCAAAATTCCAACGCCATTTCAGATACCCCCTTTTGGAGACAACCTTCATCCTTTGTGTCCCAATCAATTACAGCGATAGTTTTGCAACTTATAGTCTTTCAACAATCAAAACGTATATGTTTAAAGAAAATAATCGAACGTTTCAATCTGAGATGTGCCGTGGCGTATAGCATACAGCTGGGAATGGAATTCGGGGAACTTTAAAATATCCATGTATGAGACAATTATTCCACCGGAATTAAACGTTTTTAGGACAAAATGCCCTGCATTTACAAAGCTTGAAAGACAAGCCAATACCATTTCACCACTCTTGCGAGAGTGATACCAACTGTCTCCATCTTTGACGTCATGTTTGAAGTCCTTCATGATAAAGTTAATCGGTTCGGAATCACTTAGGGCTAAGGGTAATCTAAAATTCTTAAATGATTTGATAAACTCAGTAATCATTTCCAATATATCCAAGCTGCTAGAGAACAAAGAAACTTGAGAGCATGACAGCGCTAAATCAACGACAAAAGCGAAGCTAGGACTTCGCGAGCTTGTATGACATCGACAGGTAAATTTTAATCTGTAGTAGTTTTCAGTGAGCAGAACAGAACAGAGTAGAGCAGAGCAGGACTGGTACAGTATTCCACGAAGATCGCAGAGGCTACCAATCCACCAGAAACACTTCCAGAACTTAATGTCAGACTGCTCATTGACCTCAAGTGAACGTTATGTTCGTACTGATGGCAAATTTGAAGGAGAGGTATGAGAAATGTCCTCTCGAATGCTGTCTAGATCTTATTTGATGTTGACATTCCTCAGAAGCCCTTCGAACGCGAATTCTCCTTTCGAACATCCAAAGGTCAGGCCATCATGCCAGGCTTATGCCGCCTCGATTCGGGGTCCGACATACCACTTGTAGTGTCAAGAAGATGGGTCAAAGAGGCTGGCAAAGAAGCCGAGATATCAACCGATTTTGAATGTCCATCCTCATATAGTCTCAGCGGACATGCGATGGAATTCACTGGCATCATTCGAAACTTTGTTTTTAACCCTAAAGGCTCTTCAACAATATATCGCAGAGATTTCTTGGTGTGTGATCAACTGGATTCTTTTGTGGATTTCACCATTGGTGAAAAGTTCATGCTAGAGGAATGGCAGGTCTTGTTTGGGAACATGAAGAGACGGATTGCCGGGTGGTTCAGTCACAAAAAGGAAACGCCTTTAGAGCAAGAAGAGGCTCAAATCCTGAAAGACAATCAGGAGAAAGAAGCACAAGAAGCTGAACTTCGTCGTCAGGATAAGAAAGATGCTCAGCGCAAGAAAGAAAAAGAAGCCCGTCAGAAATGGTCAGAGGCTAATGAGTCTCCTGTTAGCCAATAAGACGATACTTATAATGGATTAACCCGAGAAACTGAGTCGCAGTAGATCCTCGTTGCCATGACCTATCTCCCTGCTCTACAGCTGACATCTTGTCAGTGGATCAGCGAAAAAAAGGAGTTCCGCGTCTCTCCATTCGCCTGGCAACGAGTTTTTTAGTATCATCGCCGGAGTCTTGGGTATCAATTCTATGCGTTTACATCCTTCATTTTTATATTTTGCTTTTGAGGAATGTTGACAGGATGAGGAATGCGGGAGGAGCTTGCATGATATTCATAGACGATGCATATAGACTACTATTATTCATACCACTTGACGAACACATATCCATGAGGTGATCTTTTGAGATACAATTGTAACTTTTTGGTAAAAACCTGTAAAACTCTGTAAGCTGATGATGCATACGAAGATACTTACGATGTATTAAACCCGTCGTATTTCGTTTTCTTGTGCAATCCAAGTGCCAATTTTGTGTCACATGACCTTGAAATAAAGACGCGACACGCACCTTCAAACTACGCGTCTCACCAGCTTCTCCTTGAGTAATTCAACAACCACAAATTCGAATATGGAGTCCAGCGACCCAACAATAATTGATCTTAAATCTTCATTCCTACGCGCACAAATCTTCGCACTCTCTCAACCTCTTCAACCATCTCAAGAATGGCAAGATTCTATATCGGGAGAAGAGAATACTTTACGACAACGCGCAATTGATGAAGCATTATTCAAGCTCAATACTATCCTGAAACAACATAACAAGATCAGCTACCCTCCGCAGGCACAGCGACATGTTGCTGAACAGATCGATCAATTATACTGGGCTGCAGGGGAGAGAGATGTTAATGTGAATGGAGAGGAGTGGAGTGAAAAGGGCGCTGACTATCGTGAGTTCCATCTATCATATCAATCAGGGCGTGGTAGACTTATGCTAATCAACATCTCCATCGACAGGCTTGTCATCTAACATTGAGAAATTACCAGAGGAGTGGAGCGAAGAAGCAGAAACGAAGGCACCTAAGCAAGCTGCGAAATACAAAGAGCTTCAAAATAAACTGTTGGTACTAAATGAGAAGCGAAAAGCCGCAAAGGAGAAACTTGAACAATGTAAAGCTGCCAAGAAATTACTAGAACCCTTTGATCAAGCGGAGAAGAATATCCAAGAAAACATTGTTACCAAAAACGGGGAAATCGAGAAAGAGTTAGAGAGGATGAGGATGTTGATGTTGAGAGTTGAAAGGGGTATTGTAGGGTTAGAGGGGAAAGATAGGGAGGATCATATGGATGTTGACTTGGAAGAGGATGATAGGGAGAAGCTTAGGTTCTTAGGAATTACATAACATGATTGGCTTTATACGAAAGAGGAGGAGAAATAGACAGTCTTTGTCGGGTGAGTTTGTTGTAAAGAATTCTTCATCTTCCCGTCACTTATTAGCAATCCAGACAACAAAGCCGTCAAACATGATCGACCCGGCACTTCGCTTTGATAAGATTGAGTGTACATTGAACACACTTCAGCTTCGCCCAGTACACTCAATCTTGTTTCATCATCCCAAAATTTACACAAAATGAGTTTGTATCATGTCAGCCTTCCATATACCAACTTGAAAGCATCGGAAGAGTTCTACGCAGCTGTATTAGAGCCTTTGGGCTATAAAATGTACCTTCAAACTCGTAATAAGACTTTCTTTAGACCAAGCTGGCTGTTTCACCCTGAACTTTCCTTGAGACGTGATAGATCCTGTGGGCCAATTGGAGGTACTCGTATCATCATCCATGCATCATCCAGATCACAAGTCGACAAATTTTATGTTCTCGGTCTGTACGTGTTTCCATCATTTTTCAATAATCACTAATAACACGCTGACCCCATCTGCAGAGCCAAATCTAACAACATCCAAAGCGGAGAGATCAACGATTATTCACATGCCTATACAGCTTATATCGTCGACTTTGACGGCAATGTTATTGAAGCAATTTACCTAAAATCATGGGTGCCCAAGGCCATCGTCCCATTTCCATTGACCCCGGCAGCAATTTGTGGCGCGCTTTATCTGGCAGTTGCTTCTTCTATCTTCAGAGTACTTGGAGGGTGGTACTATTTTATCTTCAACGCAATAGGGATGTTGACGATTGCAGATCTTGTTTATGTCCAGCTTGACTCGGAGAGGTCAACACAGAGATTGAAGATTCTGGACTGCTGAACCTTGAGAAACGAGACAAGGCGTTGAGGGCCAGGCTAGCATCTAGAGATGTGGATTAAACTTTAGGATAGACGTACAGAGATTCGGAGATTTTGGTTGATTTAACTGCAACTAACATCAAGCGGTTCAGTGCACTTCCATGTCTATCTGTGCGTGGCTGACAGAGTGTATGATTTTCTTACAGTCACAATATTTCTCAACCATCTAGTAGAGCTTCAGTTCAAGTACCGAATCTACGTCGGCCTCTACATTCCCCATTGAAGTCTGAAAATAGTATGTTGGCTAATCTTGGCACTCAGATATCGCGGCATCCAATATTTGATTTGCGCACGCTAGAGACGTCATCGACGAGAAATACCCATCTAGTATCACACTACTGCTAGTTTCCCCATCGTATCCCATGGTATATGATATTGACATAAGTAATTCATGATATCATGCATTTGTACTGAACCAATTTGTCAACAACATAGCTCATTCATCGAAGCTTTTTTATTGGGAGTATGAAACCAATCTTAACAAAATTTCATCAGAATTAATTCATTATACTCAATCGCAAAAATTAAAATGCCATTTTCCTACAAAACTGTAAGCTCCCTTGACCATCCATCGTTAAGTCGTCTTTGCTAAAATAAAACACCAGGTGCTGGTGGTTGGCGCCACCTCAGGTATTGGGCTTGCCCTCACTGAGAAAATGCTTTCCGAAGGCGTTACCAAAATCATAGCCTTGGGCCGTCGTCAAGATAAACTGGATGACTTACAGAAAAAGCATGGAGATTCGAAAGTTTCAACTGTGGCCTTTGATATTACGAATCTCGAGGGCATTCCCAAGATGGTTGAAGGGTATGTTGTCCATATATTTTAAATAATTGCCACTCAACAAATACTGATGGATCGAACTTCACAGCGTCCTCAAATCACATCCCTCCCTCGACTGCGCATTCCTCAATAGTGGAATACAACGATCTCTCGATTTCACACAACCCTCATCCATAGATCTTGATTCAATTTCTACAGAATTCACGACTAATTATCTCTCCTACGTTCATCTTACTAAAGCACTTCTTCTACATCTACAGAATAGAGTCAAGGGTGGCGAGAATGCCGGATTGATATTCACGACTAGTGGATTGGCTTTGGTACCAATTATGCGATGTGGAAATTATTGTGCAAGCAAAGCTGCTATGCATCAATTAATTCTCGTTATGCGTGAACAGTTGAGAGATTTGGGTCAGAGCGAAGGTGAGAATACTGCGGAGGAAAAGACTTCGGGGGAGAATAAAAAGAGTAAGGGTGTACAGGTTATTGAAATCTATCCGCCTGCTGTTCAGACGGAGCTTCATGATGAAAAACATCAGCCGGATATTAAAGATGGCAGGAATATGGGAATGCCGTTGGATGATTTTACGGAGGAAGCGTGGAGAGGATTGGAGAGGGGCGATGAAGATATTCCTGTGGGGATGACGTGGAAGGGATTCGGGTATGAGGAGGTGGAGATGAGAAGGAAGAAATTGTTCGGCGAGATGATGGAGAAGATGAAAGGGAATTAAGGTCGTGTCAAAGTTCCAAGAGGGCCTGAAGATGAGTTCTCGGGACAGGAATGGGTGAACTGTATATTGAATATCGTGAATGGTTCAAGTAGGAAAGCCATCTGCTTGCACTATATAAAGCTGTAATCGCTTCCGAAAAGTAGCTATACTCAAGCTCGACATGATAAATGCATCATACAGCTGGCAATCAAGTCGTCTATCAGGTGATTTACTCCCCTTTGGTGTTCATGTTCCTCGTTTCTTGGTACCCAAAATAATACAGATACCCGTCATCTCCCCAAGCGAGAGGTGCTCTTATTCATGTTCTTCCATATGCAATCGATATATTCACTTGCACAAACGCTAGAAAGTCTTTCCTGTCTGACCATCTAAACACCGTGATTTCTTCGGACTATCACCTCTATTGCAAAAAAATGGCAGAAGACTGACTACCTGCCAGGTTGGTAATCCGTTGGCCTGTCGTACAAAATCTAGCATCGTTTTTTCACACCGCAAGTTGGGCACATCGTTGTGTGAGTTTGTTGTGAATCGAAGTTCTTATTCTTACAAGTGACGATTGAAGTTTTCGACAGTGATAAAGATCAGGTATGTCGAGTGCATTTGAATGACAATGTCCAGTGGCAGCGTCTAGATTACTACAATGTAAAGAAATGGGATATATATGCCACTCCCAGTCTTTGAGACCTACTGAACAAATCCTGAGTGATTGACTCTACTCCTCCGATACTCTGATCGGGGCTTTGCGCACTTTCGAATCCTCCAAGAGGGGGTTTAAACCGGATCGGCATGGATAAAAAATACGGTTGAACGGCACCTTTTATATTTATCTACGAAATATCCGAATGGAATGTGACCATCATCTATCATACTGATATCAAACTTATACTTAAGACCTATCCCTAAACCTGGGTAGTGAATTCTTTTCCAGCCAGCCTCAAAATATTCAGTCTTCCTGTATTTAATTAAACACAGCAAATGGGTTCGTACACATCAAACTTTATTTGGCACTCAAGATTTCATACCTTAGGGACTTTTGCTCGGAGCTGGTTCGTAACTGAATGGTGTGATTCAATTTCTTGCCGTATGATTACATGATAAAGATACAGGGTCATCTACGTGCCTCGCAAATTTCGAGGAAATTCACTGTTGTTACCATTAAAGGTTTGTTTAATGTTTCACTAATAGTAGAAACTGGAAAGAATACCGACAACATTGAACACTATTCATGTTCTGGTCGTTCCATTATTTGCCCGCAAGGTCGAGAGTCCCCTAACATTATAGTTATATAGATCTTTCCGGATATTCGACTTGGAAACTACTTGGGAATGAGATATTTTCCTCAAGGCTGATCTTTTCTCCTGCGAACCTTGTTTGATGTTTAAAAATCTGCGTTATTGATACTATTTATACCTCCAACCATCAAAGTCAAACCTCCAGAATTCACCCATCTCAATCTAAGATTCACATCCCATCGGCAGTCCTAATGGTGAATATCCCCTACACAATCTTTTAGGCTACTAACAAAGAATATCTCGCTCTTACTTGAAAGTCTTGCGAAGCTTCCATTGAGGCTCTGGCGCTCCGAGTATTTCTCTAGATTGTGAGGCGATGAAACAACAAAGCGTTTGTGACTTTACGTGGTAGAAATAGCTTACAATTCACCAAGATATCATCGTATTGACATTAAGAGGATGCAAAAGTGAGTCTCAAGAACAATTCACCCACCATCCACTCACGCCTTACTTCCCAACCTCATCGTCGCCTAAAGTCTTGCCCCACAAAAACTCAACCCAAATATCTCACAACCAAGCATTTCAAAGATTATATCTTCAGCATAAAAAGTAAACAAGAAAGTACGAAATAGCAAAACTTCAACACGTCTTGCGACGCTGTAAATCCCAATCAACTTCGTACTATAGAATGACTGTACCAAGCTGTCCCCTATTTGGCCCGATTGAGAGGGCCCCGATTACTATGGCATGGGTGGAGGCGTTACGTAGACCACTGTACCACGGGGATATGTTTGGTGAGGTATGTGAAGACTTTGGGGGATATATTGGAGGGGCCGTCTGATGAGATGAGGAATTGGAAACAGGTAATGGGGATTGGTATAAAGGATATGTGACGCATTTTGAGAACTCTGAAATATAACAAGATATTTCATATCTTTATTTCTGTTTACTGAGAACAACTTCAGCAAGCACGATTAAAGCTCTTATTGAATTCTTCTTGGTTGTTGTTGTATCGTGTATGTCGCAAACCATCTGGCGGTCATGGGCAGCAGAATTTTCCCGACAGTATGTACAGGATGCGACCGCCATTCAATGCTTATGAAGTCTTGATGCTATCACTTATGGTAACATTGGCATATATATCTCAACTACAACAAAGTGAATAGGAAGCAAATGCACTGGGACATCCTTTCCGGCCACGCAGAAAACAAACCTGCTCTCCGGAAAATGCTTTGCGACAAGCTAGCCTGTGTTCATTGGATCACCAACCTAACATATGTATGATCGGGCAGCTGAAGCAATTTGCGCTTTAAATATGCATGTGAATTGTTCATGGAGTAATTGAGTTTTACCTTGGGTCTAGGTCAGACTTAAACACAGAGTCTACTGCCGGCTTTGTAAGAAAGAGCAAAATTCATGTTCAACTGACCGCATAGGATACGAAAGAAATTACTTTAATAGATCGGGACCTTTGAATGTTGCTTCCACAAAGCCATTTTATGTGCTACATACAAGTGTCAGGATCGTGCCGATTCGGTATTCGTGGTTGAACGATTTCGATAGTGGGAGATGTCTCTAGACTTACTCCGAGATATGAGATCGCTGCCGAATGGTATGAAGCCCCGCTTGGGGAGTGAATACAAATACTCAAAAAAAAAACCTGGTTCAATGGTCATGGTGAAACTGATGTTTAAGTACAGGACCGTAAAGCTACTTGACTAAACTCTGTCAGCGGATGGCTTTTTTGGATGTTGCATAGACTTTAAGTTCGCTCCATGCAGGGTACGAAGAGCCTTGAAACTCATACTTTTAGTATCATTGAATTGAGTTGGATACGAAAGTACTCATACTACGAGTGCACTAGCTTCAGAACATGGAAGCGGTGGTTGTTTGCTCTCAGTCCACGCTACTGTAGCATGAGACGAAGCGATATGTGGAAAGGGGTGATTTTGTGATAGTAAAACCATTGCGAATCTGGAAAGAAATTTTAGGCAATCACATAGCTGGTGTAGATTGTGAATCACAAATTACTTAATGGCGCAGATTCACCCTTACATGTTGAAAAGCTTAGCCTTAGGACTTAAGTTCCATCATTCCGAGTACCAAGGTATCACTATTATTCTCGATCGCTGGAGCATAGATAATAAAATATGAAAGTAAAGTAGAGTCAAGTCAATAGCGAGAAATATCTAAAGTAGAAACCAGGAGATGACCCCTTGAGATTTGGAGCATTAGCGCCCACAGAAGATAATGTGTACGGATAGGACAAGAAATGGACCGCTCAAATAATACTGACTTATTGAATTTATATGGACGTTCTTCCTGGCGCCGTATCAGTTGGGCTTATTAATGGCGATAATATTCATCGGATGAATGGCGGGAAGGTGGTGAGGGAGGTATAAGCGTCAAGAGGGGGGTGTTTTCGAAAACAGGGGGTTCATATGACATCATTGTCGTCTAGTCTAGGGAGGGGTAGCTAGAAACGAGGAAGATTGGCTAAAAGGCTTGGAAAAAAGCGTTTTTATCTAAACTCCTGAATCACAGATCAAAATTTGGATATGTAATGTGAATATGTTGACAGTTCATCTGAGAACCCTTTATCCCCTCTATCTAACTTTAGAAAGAAGTTTCTTCTGTGTTAGACACTTGAGAACAACAGATGAATCCTTTCAATAAACTGGGAGCAAGATCTATATTCATATAGAGATATGCTTTATATAAAAGTTATCATTCAATCATCTTTGACAGAAACTACTCATTGTTCATTAATGTCTCGAACTTTTGAGATCACTGAGCTGATGTTTGAGAAACCTATTCTCACTTTGACATTTTTCCCACTTGGAACATCAAAAGTGCATTTCAAACTTCAGATGAGAACATGTCCAGTGGATACCAATCAATATTAAACTTTGTCATGTCTCCATCATATCTTCATTTACCCCTCTCCTTCTAACAAAGTTCTTCCATCTCTTTTCTCCCCCAACAACTCGTGATCTGGAACAACATTCCCCCGACGCTCGGATCACCCAAATCAATAAACCATGTCTCCAACTCCATCAATCAAGAGCTTACAGCTTGCTCCCCAGCCCACCAAACACGATCCCTTTGTACCACCCAATTCCGAGTTACTTACTGGCGCCGTCGAATATCCCACTCGAAAATCAAGCCTTGCCAATCTACCTCCCGATAAGAAACCTACCACCATGACTTCCAGACTCGTCCTCGTAATTGGCGATTTGCATATCCCAGACCGAGCTATTGATGTTCCTCAGAAGGTATGATTCCTTTTGCGCCTCCTGCGCCTTTAATTCTAATGCTCTCGATTGCTGATCTATTGAACTACAGTTCAAGAAGCTTCTCACCCCGGGAAAAATTGGCCAAACTCTCTGTCTCGGAAACCTTACCGATCGTCAAACCTACGACTATCTCCGCTCAATAACCCCCGATCTAAAGATCGTTCGCGGCCGCTACGATACCGACGCTACCTCACTTCCACTCTCCCAAGTCGTCACACATGGCTCTCTTCGCATTGGCTTCGTTGAAGGCTTTACCATTGTTGCGCCTAACGAGGTTGATTTATTGACTGCCGAAGCCAATAAGTTGGACGTTGATGTATTGTGCTGGGGAGGAACTCATAAGTTTGATGCCTTCGAACTTGACAACAAGTTCTTCATCAATCCCGGAAGTGCGACTGGTGCGATGACTACGGGATGGATGGAGCCGGGTGAGGAGATTGTTCCTAGTTTTTGTTTGATGGATGTAAGTTCTTCTCTATTCTTGCGCACTTTGCTTGAGCTACAATTTACTCCTCCGTTACTCCTCCTCTTCCTTCAAACCCCCCCAGCTAACTCTCCCCCCTCCCCTAGGTCCAAGGTCTCGGTCTCACCCTTTACGTCTACCAACTGCGCACCAGCGAAAAAGGTGAAGAATCCGTCTCCGTCGAGAAGATCTCCTACACCAAGGTTCTCCCTCCCACCACCGCCGCCTCCAGTTCCACATAATGATACCCTATTTCTCCACCACATTTCCATTTAAAGAAGTGCTTTCCCTTCTGCTTTCCCCTGCGGTCGCCAGTTACAAAAAAGTCCTTTGGCATTTACGGTGTTTGGGGATCTTAATCTTTTGCGGGATGGGGGTACAATTGATATGATATGACATGATATGATGGCACAACGATAGACTATGACTGCTGGAGAGAGAAATACATGCACATAATACCAGAGAGCTAGACTCTTTCCCTCCTATTTCAAGAAAAGTCTTGCCATATTCATCTACAGAGGTGAACGAATGGACGCCTACTGGACACCAGATAAATAGGATTGCGTACGATACCACCTAATGATACATAACATACAATAAAAATCACATTTGTAGCGCAAGCTACGCATTTGCGATTCATTGCAATGCAGAAATTGAGAATGGGAGAACAATATTCGTGATTTGACGATAAAAGAGAGATTTCATTGATATCATATTCCGCTTCATAAAAGTGAAAGAATCGAAAAAACTAGAAAACTAAAATTACTTCTGCGCCATTCATCAGGACCAAAGAAGATATGCGTATGAAACCGCTGTAAGCTCATTAATCGTCCAATCCAATCCCATTACTCCTGATTTTCATCCAATCTATCATAATCGATTTGATCCAATTCAATCGAACTCAACGCAGAAGAAATTAAGAATATTTTATAACCCAAACTCGACTTATAAGACGCCACCCATCATAACATCATACTTCTCCTCCTCGAACTTATCCTATCACTCCTATTCGCGTTCGCTGCGGCAGCTCCAGCCATACTCGTACTACTGACACTTTTCCTCAAGGATTTATCCGAGGAATCCGTGGTATCTCTTTCCGATTCGTGACCTTGAGCCGATGCGCTTCTAGCTATGGTTGAAGAGGGTAAAGCCGATTGTCTTCTTCTTGAACCTGATTGTGATGGTCCTGTTGATGCAGAGAATTTTCTCGCTGGTTCAAAGTCCTGATCTCCTACCGGAATAGCGGAAGCTCTTCTAGAAAAACGTGACGATGCTCTATCACTTTTCTCTTCTTTTATGACTTTCGGTTCTTCAGAATCGCGTTTGGGGGAACCTTGAAATTCATATATATCCATATCTTCAAGGGCTGCTTTTATATCGTCGCCTTTAGTCGATTGTTCCTTGGATTTCGCTTTTATTTTCCTCGACTCTGCTAACAGCTCCGCGACTGACTTAGATCCCGATGCTGAAGATCCCGACTCTGTGAGATATAAAATTGACTCGCGACGTCTTCTGTGATCTGTAATGCTGCTTGGTAACATATCAGGAAGGGGTGCAGAAGCTTTGCTATTTAGCGGACTGTGATCTGCGTTTGATGCGGTTGATAGTTGTTTCCAGGCATCTTCAGATTCGGGTTCTGCTTTGATTTTGCTTATTGTCGCCGGACCAGCTTCCTCATCCACTCTGATGGCACGAACTTTTCCATCGGCTGTGACGGCGTTCACAAATTCCTTTCCGGGTCGGCGCATTTTATCTCGAAGATTAGGTTCCGCATAACTTATCGAGTTCCGAGCTCGTCGACTTGGTCGTTGGCCTTCAGCAGATTCCCTCATCTCTGAAGGCGGTGGGGTATCCCGAGATTCGACTCGAATGTTAGTTGACGGATGCGATGAAAGAGGCGAAAAGATATCGACAGGTGCAGGCGTCTCTGGTTCCGCCTGCATATTGAAGACCTGCAGTGGAGGTTGCATGGTTTGTCGAATAGGTTCGATATTCTCCATCTTCTTCTCCTCTCTTGGCATCTCCTTCGATAGGCTTTCCTTGAACAAATTCAACTTGCCTGGCTTGATCCCATCATGATTGGAATTCCTGCTGCTGGCTCCTTTCTTAGGGGAATTATTCACACTTTTGGCTGCCAGAACCTTTCTGGTACTGGGAGCTAAAGCCGGCTTATCTTTCGACAATCCTTTGGAGCTCATAACATCCTTCAATGACTTTGTATTCTCCTTGGCTGATGAGACTGCCAATTTTGTTTTCGCTCGTTCCTCGGTAGATAAACGTGTGAATTGGAAATCGTCAATATCGTTAGCGTTTGTCGACTCCAGTTCCTCGTCTTCTCTTGCACTAAGCTTCCTCTTTGCACCTGATTTAAGTGTTCCCGTACTCTCTCGTTTTGCCGGAAGTTCCAATCGGCTGTTCCTCCTAATATCAGAAGCCACCATACTATCCTTGCGCTTCTTCCTCTGCTCAAGATTCGTTGATATTATTGAATCCAGCTCATCTTCCCTTTCATGAGCTAACTTTCCTGCCAAATCAATCTTTACAGGATCTTCGTCGACAAATTGTGATACTGGTGGCGGCCCAATGTCAGGTGAATCTTCGTTCTCTGCTTCCACTTCAGCTAACATATTTTCGATTTCCTGATGTCTATGAATTGTTAGCGTGCAAACTCCACTACATCAAATATTGCGCAACATACTCTAAAGTTTTCCTAGGATAATATTTGTTTTCCAAAATGGGGGGTAATTTGCCATCCGGGCTACCGATGTCTTCACTCGATGAAGCCGTCGTTTTCCTTGGTGGCATTTTGCGCTCCGGGCTTGTACCATCCTCGTTCAATGGGTCCAAATTATCCCACTTGTTCTCCTTGGGGCTACGAGGAGGATTCGAACCCGCTCTCAACCCACCAAATTGCCTTGGAACATGTGGTGATCTCTTTCTTTGTGGAGATTCTTCTCCCAAGCCACTTATCAGAGCTCCGATCTCTTGCAATCTCTCTTCGAGTTGCGATTTGACCACATTGACTCTATCTGCAGCCCTTCGAGCCTTTCCGTTATCGATCTCACTTCGAAGGCGTAAATTCTCCTCCCGGAGTTCTAGGTTTTCAGCAAGAAGTTTCGAGGTTTCATTTTCAAGGCTTCGGATTCGAACAGCTTGGGAGGAATTGACGGATGCAATATCGCGATTCTGACGTTTGTACTTGCGCTTGACTATGATTGCATCAGAAAGCCGCCTCTCCATTTTTTGCCAATTGTCAGGAAATCGTTGTTTGAGAACTTACGAGATTCAATACTCTCCAACGAAGCTGCAGGCTCATTTAAGCGGGCCATGTGAGCTGGCAATGCATGCGGAATGAAATATGATTAGTAGTACAGTATGAGAGAAAGACGTGAGAAATTTGAGGATTATTTTTGATAATTCTTGGAAGCTGCGACGAGGGATTTGTCGAAATAACGGTGGTTTCTAGTGATTCTTAGAGTGTTTGTGTACAGTGAAAAATTAGGGTGAATTGATTTGTTTACATCGAACTTGAATTGGTTAGATTGGGAGCATTGACTCTGCTATCATAAAAGTGGGTTTATTTATCAAATTTGATTGGTTGAAAAAAAGGATCGCTATCAGTCCCGCCTTGAGTTGTCCACGGATGGAGAATCAATTCATATCCAGTTCAATTATAAAGCGTTCTAGGTCTCCATCCCTTTGCATTGGAGATCCAATATTACAACACTCGGGCTGTAAAGCAAAGATCACAATAATGTCATACTCATCTCGACCCCTCGGTTCGCATCTGCGACAGCAGTCTATGGGTGGTAGTTTAGGTTCATCTTCTGGTCAATCCCCCGTCTTACAGGCGCGCATCAATGAGAAAAGGGCAGAGTTAGAAAATCTAAAGCAACTGCGAGATTTGAGTGCAGGATTGGCTGGACAGATGCAAATGTTGGAAGAGAAGCTTTCGACTCTTTCAGATGGAACAGAAGCCGTCGCAACAGTATTGGGCAACTGGCACAATGTTCTGCAAGCTATTAGCATGGCATCCAGTGAGATCTGATGTACTCTTCTGTTTGTCGCGATCTTCTAACAATTACCAGTGAAGATACCAAAACCCAAAGAATCAAACGATGGGGAAGAAGAATTGGAAAAGAGAACGGGACCTGAAATACCATTACCTCAAACTCTAGTCCGAATACCCACAGAGCACGCGCCAATGCTACAACCATCCAAAAATGAAGAGTCGAATGAATGAAGAGTACACGCCAAGTCGCTGGGAGACTAGAAGAGAATATACATGCATTCATGACGAGTTTGGTGCATTAAACGGCGCAACAGGCAGATATGGGGTTGTGAGTTTTGATACCAAAATCGGTCTGGTGATGGATCGTGTCCATGTAGGAATGGCTGGTAAAAAGCAGCTGGGCTCTTGATGATGACATGATTGACGACATATTAGCAGAGATTGATCGAATAAGAAAAATGTCGGAAAAGTCATGCAATCTAAACAAATACATGGTGTTGTGGCCTGCATAATTAGGTAAGATGTGAAACCCAATGACGGAAAGGTTGTCGGAAAAGAAGGTTGCATTACATCACAATGAGTAGGAGTGGAATACTTCATCGAAGGAAACAAACTCATCGCCGAAAGCCTTTTGCGTATTGACGGACAATGAATGAATATGTCAAGAGCGATTCACCATTTTCATCCCAAAAAGAGCTTTGATCAATCATCGCTCACGATTTCACAGTCGAGCCTTTCTTTTTCAGATACCGGTTGCTATAGTGATGATGTAAGCTCAAACAAATGAGGGGAAGGAAGGAAGCTACACTTTCGTAGCGAGCTGCTCAAACGAATATCCTCATGATCAATTGAATTTCAATGACTTGACAATTCACATAATTGATAAGAAAAAGCTCTGATTTTTGGAAAAGAAGATTCATCAAACTTGGTACTACATTTCTATTGACTTTACGAATACGGAATACGATTGTCACTCAAAAATAGAACGCAATTTCCACCCACCCTTGCAAATCGATTGCTTCTCAATACTCGAATCACATCTAATTTCCGAAACACTATTCGACGAAAGATCTACTGTTTCTAGACCATTTATGACTTTTGACAGTCAAGATGTCTCGAGTAACAAGATCAACCACGATCAATATTGTGGAAGATAATACAGCATCCATTGCTGCCCAAATCCCTCTTCCATTGACACCTGCTTCAAAAGTATTGGCTGCTTCAACTGTACACGAATTGAATAGCATGGCAGCTCATGATAGCTCAGAAACGGATCTCGCACAACATATGAAAAATCTCAAAGCTGCATATCGAAGTGCTCTCGGTATCACAAAAAAAGGCAAAAAGCACAACAAGAATAAGAACAAGGGAAAGCAAGACCTTTCGACAGAGCTAGAGCATACTAAGATTACTCTTCATGAAATCGAGCACATCGAGGGTATTACTGTTAATCCAACGTCTGTTCAAGCTACTCCAAACACAGAAACTGTCCCAAGAATTGCTGCAGGCCCACCTGGTGCTCGCTCTACAACTCTTGTCTCCAATTTTGAGCTTTCAAGGACTCAAATTGGTCAGCCAAAATCCGTTCAACCACCTTACATCATGGGACAGCCTATTGTACCTCACCTTCCACAGTTGGGACGAACCACTCGAGGTCAAATTGCAAGACAACAAGCAGGTCAGTACGATAAAGGTGTTTCATTTATTAGAGCGGCCGATACTGGAGATGTCTTCTGGAAACCACCTCAACCCTCCAGTTGTGGTTCATCTCTTTTCGCTGGTCCCCACTTTCCTATGCAGACGGGACCTTTCATTCCATTGAGACGTGAGCATAACACTAATCCCTCGGACTCTTTAGCAAGGAAGAATAATGACAACATAGAGACAAAGGATGTCGAGTCTTCGACATCAGAAAAACTTCGATCCACCCCAAAGAAGAGTGATCCTCCAGCTGCTTCTGACACCTTGCTCTTCACAAAGCAAATCACAACACTCGAGGAGATTGAAAGAGCTTACAAGGCTTCAGAGGTAACATCTCCTGTTCGCCAACGCTCATCTTCCGCCGAAATAGAAGAGGATTCATTCATCGATATAATCATAAGTCGATCACCAGCAAAACCTGTGTCTCGCATCGAAGACTCTTTGGAAGAGCTTGACAATTTGGAAGATGCCATAGATGCGCTCGATGAAGCTACTACCGTTGAAAAATTTGTTGCTGCCTCACCCAAGACGGTCAATATCTCAACTGAAGCTTCCTCTGACAGCAATTCGAGAAGATCACCCCAACGAGGACTTGTTGAGGAGCTTCCCGCTGCTGGACTACGTGTACGCGCACATGATAGTCTAGCTCAAGCAACTTCACAAAGACCCAAATCTACCTACGCAACAATGCGTATCAAACGTACCACAGCCACGGAACCAAGCCTCAAAAAGGCTAAATCTATGTCCTTTGAAAATATAAGACCTGTGGCTAGTCCGGAAAAGCCAACAATGACATCTCCAAGTAAAGTTCCACGACCAACTAGTCTCCTTCCTCCAAAATCACCAACCAAATCTACAAAGCCATCCACCAAGCCAGTGTTCGAGCTTCCTGGTGACGCTGTCGCTAAGCGATTAAAGGAACAGAGAGAAGCTCGTATTGCGCAACGAGAATCATCCGAAATGACAGTCGTTAGAACTACAGCTACACCAGGAAGAATCAAATCCACGAAGCCCCCCACCAAATCTTCTCAATTTGAACTCCCCGGCGAAGCATACTCAAGACGTAAGCGAGAAGCACTTGAGGCAAAACTCAAAGCCCAAGAAGAAGAAGATCGCAAAAGAAGGGAATTCAAAGCCAGACCCATAGGTAAAACTGTTGCTTCCCGTACTCTTCCTCGCGATACAGCTGCTAGTCGCGCGCGCCAAAGTAAAACGGGAACAACTGGTGATAGTATTGATAGTGGTGGTCTCACAATCGGCAAACGTGGGAGCTTAGTTGGAGCTCCTCGTCCTTCAATTCTTGACATGCAAAGAGTAAATGTTGTTAGCTCATCACCTCGTACTAAGGCTCCTCCTGCTCCTTTGAATCGCAAAGCGTCACAACGTCCACATAATCCGAGAATGGCAATGCAGAGAACGGTGTCAGATTCGGATCATGAATTACAGAGACAGAGAGCCAAGGAACTTTATAATAAAGATGTGATGTATACAGCAGACATTGAAAGAGAGAAAAAGGAACGGGAGACGGCAGCTATCAGGGCAAGGGAAGATGCGGCAGAGAAGGGAAGGGCAGCTAGTAGGGAGTGGGCGGAAAGACAGAAGGCCAAAGCAATGGGTGACGCGCTTACTAGTCCAAAGTCTTCTACTTTCTTTTGAGTGAAGGCTGATCAAATTGTTTGTGGTGTTTTCGGCGTTTTAAGTTGGCTCTGAACTGTCTGGAACTAGTGCGTTCGGCTTATGGTGCTTACATGGATATATGAGCCTACGCGTTAGGCAGTCGTATACGTTATTGTGAATCTCTTCGTGTCAGATTTGGCTTTTGAAGTCTGATATTATACGTTCTTTTCAGCTTAACATCTTAGGGGGGATTGTATCGTTCGGAATGAGTGGACAGCACGCTTCTGGATTTTGTTTTTAGTCAAGGAGTTCAAAAATGTATGGTTATGCTCACGGTATGATGTACAGCACATACAAATATTCCCGGGGAATAGGGGGTGTCCTGATATATGGTTTCGAAGGGAAGGGGGAGGTGCGCGGAGTTTGATTTGGCGGATGGGTGGGAATGTGGTGGACTTGGTTGAGTATTATACCTTGGGAGAGGATTAATTGGGAGTTTGTATATGTTATTGGAACGCATTGGTCTGTACAGGAGTATCTCGAGATTGTAATTTTCAGCTCGAAAAGCAAGGATGGAGATGTATGCGAGATGAATCAGTTGCTCGTCTTTGTTGGGGTGGAGCTGGGGACTACATGATCATGGGTAGGCGGTCCAGTGTATTTAGTATTGATAAGTAATTGTATAAATTTTTAAAATGAGGTATAATTGTTATTCTCCAGTTTTTACATTTCATATGGAAGTCAAGTGTGTGTGTGGATCTGTACAGGAGAGTATAAGTTGTCATGGAGAGATCATGTTACTCATCATTGATAAGTTACCTAGTTGAACGCTTGCACTATTCAGATGAATTGGCTTTGCAAGTTCGGAAATATTATCAACGCAAATTTCTATTCCCCTTGTCTTACAACCGTCCAAAAGACTTCAGTAAAAGTCAGTAAATTATTATTGCAAGACTATTGTCAATGCCAGGTACATATATATCCTCCCATCAAGTTTTC